GGTTTCTTTTCAATCTATCAATGAACTTTTATTTAAACTCGGAATACATTGAGGAAGACCCTCATCTACAATGTAGCCAAGCAATACAGGAATCAGGGATTGAGAAGTTGTAGAGTAAAAAAATAAATCAAATGCTATAAATAAATAATAAAAATCATAAAAGTAAAATTTATTTATAAGAAGGTACCAATAAAGATTAAAATTACAATATGACAACTTATCAAGTAACAGAGTAGATAAGGATAAAATAAATAAAAACATAAATTAATGAAATAAAAGAAATAGATGTAAAACAATAAATTGACAATGATAAAATAAATAAAAAGAATACTAATAAAAGAAATAAAAAGAATAAAAAGAATGATAAAAATTAAAGAGATAAAAGTAAATAAAAGTAAAAAGTAAGAACAATAGCTAAGACATAGCTAAAACATACCAAAAGTCATATTAAAAGTTAGGTAAAATCAAATAAAGCAGTTGCAGGCTGTGCAGAGGTGGTTAGAGACTAAGAGTTGAGTGAAGTTTTAGAGTTTCCTGTAATGAATTCCAGCTTGCTGGTGCACTGTAGCTCTCGGCACCTGAAGGGTGATCCAGTCACTGGAACGAGTCTGATAAACTGCATCATTTACACTGAGCATTTCTGTGATGTACGATGGCATATGGCCAGTAAGCGCTTTATAGATAAAAAGAAGCCAATATGTGTCCCGACGCACAGGCAGAGATGACCAGCCAACCTTTTCATATAGTATACAGTGATAGGTGTTGTAGAGGTCACCAGTAATGAATCTTAAGGCAGCGTGGAATACAGAGTCTAGAGATTTCATTTACAGACAAGTGCATGTCTGTATCACCATAAACAGGCAATAATGTTGCTTAAATGATCTTTTTCCTTGTGTGCTTTGGGAAACATACTTTGTTATGATACAGGGAGCCAGGTTTTTGTCTCAGTTTACAGGTAAGTTTGTTAACATGTTTAAAAGTGCTTTTGTCATCTAGCCATATGCCAAGGTATTTATACTCATTGACTCTTTCAATGTCAGATCCCTTCAGGGTTGTGATTTTAAAAGTGCTAAAATCAATGTTAGAGGCTCTGATGTCCGGGCCACACGTTGCTGTCTATTGGAGAGATTGTTTCTAATCCAGTTAGTAGCCCTTAGATCAAAACCAATGATTTGTAGACTTTTTAAGAGTAGGGAATGATCTTTAGAGAGGTCAATGAAAATGGCTGCACAATGTTTCTTTTTATCAATGGCACTGAAAAGATCGTCTAAGATGCGAGTAGCTGCAGAGATTGTGCTGTGCTTTTCTCTAAAACCAGATTGGTACTCTGATAAGATTGAATTTCTATGCAGAAATGCTTTGAGTTGATCATTTACTAAGGTTTCTAAGATCTTAGCCAAGCATGACAATTTTGAGATGGGTCTATAGTTATTAAGATCAGCGGTGTCACCTCCTTTGTGAAGTGGAGTTATATGTGCTGTTTTCCAGATACTGGGAATTCTGCTTGATAAAATAGATAGATTAAAAATATACGTAATATGTTCTAAAATAATCAGGGTTGCAAGCCTTAGAAAAAAGGGGTCCAAACTGTTCTCTCCTGTACTTTTTTTAGTATTGATGGTGTTAAGTGCTTTGGCCACTAAGTGAGGAGAAAAAGGGTGAATTGTAAAAAAAACATGTCTTACGGCAGAGGGTGTATCTATTTCATTTAGAGGTGCTTCCATGAGAATATTATCGAATAAATATCCAGCGGCTGCAAAGTGAGTATTAAATGCTTGGCAAATCTCTCTCTGATCAGTAAACTGTTTGTCATTAATTACAATATGATTTGGAATGGGCATTGATTTGTTATTGAGCAAATTAATTGTCTTCCAGAATTTAGAGGAATTTGTAGCTGAGTTTGTAAATATCTTGTAAATATAAGTCAATGGTCTCTGTCACCATTTCGTCTAGCCTGGGCCCATGCTTTATTTCTTGCATTGAGCAAGGAAGATATTTCTGAATTGAACCAGGGGTTTAATCTATCTCTGATTCTCACATTTTTGTAGGGGGCATGCTCATTTACCACTGACAGGAAAGTTCTGCAAAAATGGTCTAGCGCTAAATCGATATCTGGGATTTCTTAAGTGTAGTGTTTGTTGCTGAGCACCAGATCATTTAAAAAGGCTTGATCATTAAAATGTTTAAAATTTCTTATAACCACCATCCGAGAGCTTGACTTTATTGAACTGGTGCTTCTAATGCATCCAATAGGGCAGTGGTCACTAAAACCAGGGTCAAAGACACCTATAGAAGTCATTTTTCCAGGTCTGTTGGATAAAATTAAGTCTGTTAGTGTTGACTTGCTGGAATCATGGAAGTTAGGTCATGTTGGCTCTGTAATTAGTTGCGTTAGACATAGATTTCCACACACTTCCTTCAGCTGATCGGCTGCATTAGTTAACCAGTTTAAGTTAAAATCACCTAGGATTAGTATTTCTGAGTTGATGTATGGATTTAAAAGCTCAGCTAAGTCATCAACCCTGTGAGAGGGTGCGGAAGGAGGTCTTTAGATCCCAGCTACCATGAAACTGTTATTGCGTCCTAGACACACTTTTAGGGCTAAGAACCCAAAACATTTATCTTTGGATAATGAGATAAAAGTTTTTACTTAAATAACAGATTTGGTGTAAATAGCCACTCCGCCACCCCTTGCGTTCCTGTCAGCTCTGTGTAGATTATAACCAGATAGAGATAGTTCTGAATTAGATACAGATTGTTTTAGCCAGGATTCTGTCAAAACTACAATATCAGGATCAGCTTGTGAAATCAAAATTTTCAAATTATCCGATTTACTGTGCTGACGAAGGCTTCTAATGTTTAAATGAATTATGCCCATGCCTTTTCTGTCTTTTAAACTAATAGGATCTGTGACTACAGAGATAGCTGAATGATTATTTCTAATTTTAGGTAGTCATTTCAGGTTAAGAACAGAGTAAAACACTTCATTTATTTTGAACAGACAGTAGTGCAAGTTACAATTTGTTCCATCTAGTGTCATACAGTCCCCCCTGAGGTAGCTGGTACAGCCTGTAGTGTCTGTCATTTGCACTCAACAAGGAAAGTCACTAATGTTAACTAACGTGTGCAGTGATAGTTCAACATCAGCTGTGATTTTGCAGTTAGGAGCAGAAAAAAGGCTTTGTGCTGAATCTCTTCACAGGTGCAAAAATACTTTTTTTTTTTAAATCCCCCTTCTTCTTCTTTTTATTTACCTTGATAGCTGCCTTCCACAACTCTCACTTACTGTTCAAGCAAACTTAGCCTCAAACTTAGCCTCACAGCTGATCAACGATCAGGAGTTATAATGCTGCCACTGCTGCTAACTTGCTAACAGCCTACAGCTTAAAGCTTTTGCTTTGTGAAATTTGGTTTAGCATTACATTTCTCAATTTTCATTCATACCATGTATCCTCTGTACGACTGCACGCACCAAACTGTAACGTGCATACCGTGATGATTCAGGATTAATACACATACTGTTACACCCCTACTGCCAGGCTAATTTGTATTTAAGGTGAGACCAAACATTCTCTATAGGGTTCAAATCTGGACTCGAACCTGGCCAAAACCATTTCTAAAAACACTCTATTTTGGGCTTTTCTTTCCCACAGAAGTTACTTAGTTAGTTAGATAGTCATTTTGTCAGATACTGAGTTAGTTTCTTTCATATTTTCTTTTTTCTTTTTCTCTACAATATGTGTCAGTGATAACATGCACAATAATCCAGCCCTTACAAGTGGACATAACCTTTCTTGCTTGCTTGCTTCTTGTTTGCTTTTTTTTTGTTGGACAAAGGGAAAAGTAGGCTGTAAGTACAGAGGTATGGATATCCTGCATTTTATTTTTGACATGGTAAATCAGAGGAATAGAGCTTCGGATGATGCTTATCTCTGGCATGTTGCCATGTTAGATCCTGAGCACTTGGAAGAATATGTTCTTTAATAGTCATGCTGAGCTAAGCCCAGCTTTCATGCTTAATGTTCTTATCCTTGCTCTCATTCTGTCATATGACCCTATTATCACGAAATAATCCTGTCACAGGCCTAATTAGAATCTGATAGCCCTAAATGGTTCTAATTCTAATCTCAAATAAAACCAGTGGCAGTCCTGTAGATCTCTGTCTAACCAAATGCCTTGTTTAATAATGACACTGCTCTCTAGTTAAATGACCTATCATGCTTCTGACACAAAAGTGCTCTTTTCTAGCAACTTTTACAATGTTTCAGAATGTTGGCAAAAGTCCCATTAAACCAAAAGCATTTGAGTTCAGATTTACTACATAACAGTGAATTTCCAATTTAAAATGTTTTGCATTGTTTTGCTATCCAGTGTCAACCAGAAGAGGATGAGTTCCCCTTTTGAGTCTTGGTTTCTCTCAAAGTTTCTTTCTCTTGCACTAAGAGAGTTTTTTTCTTGCCATTGGCTCACTTATGTGAGCTTGGACCCAGATTTTTCTATAAAGCTGCTGTGGTAAAAACACTATATAATTAACTTTGACTTTGACTTTGCTACTGAACTGTACACAAAACTAGGCTGGTTGGAAATGACAGGAACTTTGCCACTATGCTTGTGTTAGCTTGATTATACAATCTATCAGCGTGGCCTTCAACAATCATACAAAACAAATATCATTTGAAAATAATAATCTAGATATCCATATTTTGACAAAAAGTTGTGAGCTACAATTTCATTTGTTTGGGTGAGATATTTGTCTATGATTTGTAAAACTTGTCTAGCCTAACAACAGTTGCGATGAAATACCATATTTGTGGGTGGAGCATGTATGGGTTCATTTATACTATTGAAAGCTGCTTGGTATTTTAATATTAAACAGATAATTGGTATTTTGCCATCGTGTACAAAGAAAATGTGTGTGTGTGTGTGTGTGTGTGTGTGTGTGTGTGTGTGTGAGAGAGAGAGAAACTTGGGGATCCACAATATGCTCTGCCCCGTTTCAGGTATTCTCACAGTCCTTCACTGCCTCGTATGCTCTCTACACTGTGGCCACCGGGTAGGTAGAGGCAGTGCACTGCATGTGCTGCACTGGGCATGTGCATTACTAAACAAGCCGATGAGTCAATCTGGTCGTTCTCCGTTTGTGTACATATTCAGCCGTCGGGCATCCCTCTAAAAGCATAGACAGCGAATACTGACCCAGCTGGCAACTTTCCAGGTGGAGAGTAGCGTTCTTCCTGTGATCTCAAAATAATACACTGGATTATTATTGGTCCTCCCTTGAGGATGTATGCTCCATTCTGTTTTTTTGTTTGTTTTTGTTTTTTTTTTTGTTTTTTTTGAATTAATGAATGAAGGCTTTCCTTCCTGTTACTTATAAAGGGTGATGAAACATCAAAGAATGCTTTGAAGTTTGTTTGCTTGTCCTTTGGCAGTTGACAAATCACTAAACTTCAAGTGAGGTTCCATCGCATGATCTGACCCCTCAGCTTGTATGGTTGGTATTATTTGTTTTGTTTGGTATGATCTTTGCGTTTGCATCTTGCTATTTTTCATGAATTCTCTCAACCACTTTCTGAAACGACTCAGATGTTTTAAAAGACTGCTCTCACTCCTGCTTGATTCCATAAGTCTCTAACACTGTGCCATTACTGTGAAGTGAGGTTTACTCACTGTGTGTATGTGTGTGTGTGATCTGGTATGTTGTAGGGAGGTGGTGGACCTCACCCCAACAGGTGTAGAAGTGTCTGTTCTGCAGTATGCAGCATGGGGGCCTCAGGGAAACCAGCTGGTGAGTCTGCTCTCCCTTCTCCCTTTTAAGTCTGTCTGACTTAATGTATCTAAATAATACCTGTAAGTGGAGTTACTTTACTGAAGTTCACAACTACATAAACTTAGATGTCAATTTATGGAAAATCTATACTTTCATACAAATGTTTGAATTTCCATTCACATAACACATTAGAATAACTCATTGCTGTCCTGTGAATTCTGTCACCTTTTAGAAGGTCAATTACCAGCATTTCCTGTTGATTTCTGGACTGTGTTTTGCATCCAGTGTGTTTAACAGTTCAGTAATGCAAACCATCTGTTAGCATTAGGGTTATTTACTGTCTCTCTGCTGTGCCAGGTGTATGTGTTTGAAAATGACATCTACTACAAGGCTGATGTGTCTAGCCCAGCAATGCGTCTCACAACTACAGAAAAGGAAGGACTGGTGGTGAATGGACTGACCGACTGGATCTATGAGGGTTAGAATGTACTATTCTATGGACATAGATATGGTGGGAGTCCAACATTCTACCTTTTCTACCTTTTGCAAAATTGTAAGAGTCCACACAAGCCAACTCATAAGTGAGTTTGTAGCCTATGAAAGCCAATGAAATCAATCTCATTGATTACATACTTTAACTGGCCACTTTATTAAAGACACACTGTTTCTATAGCCCATCTTGACAAACCATTTATGTTAACCATCCTCAGGCCTGTCATTAAAAGCCAGTTTCTGACCACTTTCTTGGTTGAATATTTTGGATGCTGGCTTGGCTAGGACTTGTTAGACCAGCAGTTACATGGTACAGACCATCTAACTCCAAACTCTAACTGTATTTTTCCTGCTACACACACACAGTATTGCCTTCATGCAAAATAACTTTTTCTAAAATCTGCACATTTTCATCTTTTCTTTTTTTTCATCATTTCTTAAAGCCATTATACACCGATTGTGATATAACAGAAGGACGTAAAGTTTCACTGATGCAAAGCATCAGCATGTAGTACTCCATGGGACATCCTGCTGGTCTGCATTTTCACAGAAGTTAGTAGAGTGCAAGTCAGGCCTGACAATAGGATTAATTAGGCAAGGGGGTAAAAAAAAGGACTGAGAGGGCACAACAGTAGAAGGGTTAGACCTTCTAATGTCCACAACGAGCACCACATATGGATATATTGCTGTGTTCCTAATCATAGTGGCTGAGTTGACAACTGCTGCTGTACAGGGTCTGTACCTTGACATATTTTAGCTGAATTCAGCTAGGAGATCTCTAATGTTCTTCTTTCCTTGCCATCTGGTAAAAACAGCAGATTGGGTCCTTCTTTGGGAATGTAGCATTAGCTATCATTAACATTGGCTTTTAGCAAGCTAAATTCTGCAGCCCTCCACAATTCATGTTGTATATTAGCAGGTGAGCTGATGGCAGAGCACTCATTACTACTCATTTTCACACCTTCTAATATAAATTTATTACTCATTTTACCAGTCTTTGCTTTAATTTTTCTTTGTTTGCTGATTATGCTGATATATTTTTTGCCTGTGGAATCGTTGTTCTACTGTTTTATTTTTACATTGTTTTTTCTTTTGCTATTCGCTTTGGCAATTCTAAACATGGGGCAGATCTGAGAAGATAGTGTCACCCCTATTGATCCACTGATTTGGAGTGACAGAAAAGTTTTCTGAACTTGTGGCCACGCCCACTCAGAGAGCCATGATGTACCTCGAACATGGCAGAACACATCCTACTATGATTGCACTGGCCTGTCCACCTTCATATGCATTAGTGTCCGGTTTCTAAATACAAAACCTCAATACATAGCATGTGTATATATATATATATTGCATAGTGCACAGAGGTCGCCAACTTTCTGCAGAGTCAGTCGCTACAGACCTCCAAACAACATGTGGCCTTCAGATTAGCTCAATGACAGTGTGTAGAGAGCTTTATGGTATGGGTTTCCATGGCTGAGCAGCTGCATCCAAGCCTTGCATCACCAAGAGCAATGCAAAGCGTCGAATGCAGTGGTGTAAAGCATGCTGCCACTGGACTCCAAAGCAGTGGAGACGTGTTCTCTGGAGCGACGAATCATGCTTCTCCGTTTGGCAATCCGATGGACGAGTCGGGGTTTGGCGGTTGCCAGGAGAACGGTACTTGTCTGACTGCATTGTGCCAAGCGTAAAGTTTGGTGGAGGGGGATTATGGTGTGGGGTTGTTTTTCAGGAGTTGGGCTCGGCCCCTTTAGTTCCAGTGAAAGGAACTCTTAATGCTTCAGCATACCCAGAGATTTTGGACAATTTCATGCTCCCAACTTTGTGGGAACAGTTTGGGGATGGCCCCTTCCCGTTCCAACATAACTGCACACAAGTGCACAAAGCAAGGTCCATAAAGACATGGATGAGCGAGTTTGGTGTGGAAGAACTTGACTGCCCTGCACAGAGTCCTGACCTCAACCCGATAGAACACCTTTGGGATGCATTAGAGCAGAGACTGCAAGCCAGGCCTTCTCGTCCAACGTCAGTGTCTGACCTCACAAATGCGCTTCTGAAAGAATGGTCAAAAATTCCCATAAACACACTCCTAAACCTTGTGAAAAGCCTTCCCAGAAGAGTTGAAGCTGTTATAGCTGCAAAGGGCGGGCTGACATCATATTAAACCCTATGGATTAAGAATGGGATGTCACTCAAGTTCATATGCGTGTGAAGGCTGACGAGTGAATACTTTTGGCAATATAGTGTATATATACATACATACATGTATTTTATATTTTTTGTGTATATATATATATATATATATATATATATATATATATATATATATATATATATATATATATATATATATATACCGATCAGGCATAACATTATGACCACCCCCTTGTTTCTGCGCTCATTGTCCTTTTTATCAACTCCACTTACTATATAGGTGCACTGTAGTCCATCTGTTTCTCTGCATACTTTGTTAGCCCCCTTTTACCCTGTTCTTCAGTGGTCATGACCCCCATGGACCCTCACAGAGCAGGTACTATTTGGGTGGTGGATCATTCTCAGCACTGCAGTAACACTGACGTGGTGTTGGTGTGTTAGTGTGTGTTGCGCTGGTCTGAGTGGATCAGACACAGCAGTGCTGCTGGAGTTTTTAAACACCTCAGTGTCACTGCTGGACTGAGAATAGTCCACCAACCAAAAATATCCAGCCAACAGCATCCTGTGGGCAGCGTCCTGTGACCACTGATGAAGGTCTAGAGGATGACCAACACAAACTGTGCAGCAGCAGATGAGCTATCGTCTCTGACTTTACATCTACAAGGTGGACTGACAAGGTAGGAGTGTCTAATAGAGTGGACAATGAGTGGACACAGTGTTTAAAAACTCCAGCTGCACTGCTGTGTCTGGTCCACCAACCATCTGACAGCGTACACTGGGGCTCCATCTACTTCTCCCGGAGTGGGTGGTGTGTCATGGGGGTAGCCTCATCCAATGTACCTGGAACCACAGATTTGAGACACGAAACATAATAGAAATTCAAAACTTGATACCGAGGAGGCAAATCAAGCTTGTAAATAACATCATTGACCTTATCCAAAATTTTAAATGGGCCTATATATTTAGGGTGGAGTTTTCTACTTCCCTCTGCAAACCTGAAGTCCCTGATCGACAGCCAAACCCGGTCTCTAGGCTGAAAGGAGGGGGTTTCACCACAGTGATGGCCCCCATTATTCTTGCTCGTTGCAACACCATTTCAATTCTATGATGAGTCTTCTCCCACACACTCTTACTCCATTTCATCCATTCATCCACTGCAGTGACGTCAGACATAGCACCGGTTCATTTAATTACGGGGGGCTGAAAACTCAAAACACATTGAAAGGGCACAAGTCCTGTGGCCGAACTTAATAAAGAGTTCTGAGCTATATCTGCCCACACAAGATATCTCCCTCAATCAGATGGATTATTTTGGCAAAAAATGCATAGAAATTTGCCAAGTTCTTGGTTTACATGTTACACTGTGAGAAAACCTGTATCTGTAATAGTAAGAATAGTCGTGTGTCCTTGAGAAATCTGTCACAAAATCTATGGCTATTTGTGAGCAAGGTCTAGCAGTCACTGCTATGTATGTGTCTCAGGACGTATTTTAGGTGGGCTACCAGAGCGTTGGGACAAGACGGCACCTATACCAGTCTCAGACGCGTCTGCTTGTGCTACAAACGGTTCGGGTCAGGGTGTTACAGAACAGGGGCAGAAGTGAAAGCCTCCTTCAAAGAACTGAATGCCCATCCTGCTTTGGGTGTCTAATGTATTTTCTTTAGGAGAGCTGTCAAAGGGGCAGCGATCACATTGAAATTACGAATAAAGTGTCTGTAGAAACTGGAAAAACCTGGAAATCTTTGTAGTTCTTTTACGGAAGTGGGTTGAGGCCAGTTAACCACTGCCTTAACTTTGTGATCATCCATTAATATACCATTGGAACTGATGACATAGCCTAAGAAAGCTACTGTCTGAATGTAAAACTCACATTTTTCTCCTTTGACGTACAGGTTATTCTCAAGTAAACGTCTAAGAACCAAACTGACGTGCTCTACATGTGTTCTTGTGTCTGGCGAGTGTATCAAGATATCATCTGTGTAGGCTATTAAAAATGTACGAATCATGTCTCCCAAGACATCATTTATGAAAGCCTAAAAAACTGACGGAGCATTAGAAAAGGCCAAACAACATGACCAAGTACTCAGAGTGCCCCCTAGTGGTCGCAAGGGCCGTTTTCCATTTATCCCGAAAGGACCCCCGTCTAATTCCACAACTTGTAATGAGGTTTTCAGGGATTCTGCAGATCTTCAGTGAGTCAGGTGTTGATGAAATTCCCCTCAGCTTCAGAATCAATTAAGGCTGAAACAACAGAGACATTTTGTTGGCAGTACACAGTAATAGGTTAGAGGAATGATTTTGAAACCAACCCCTTTATGGGAACACTCAGCACATGGCTACTTCCTGTGCTTTCTAGGGGTCGGCACCTGAGGTTTGTGTGGATGAGTCCTACAGTCATGAAGAACGTGACCAACACCAGTACAAGTACAAACCCTATTTAGAATGACAAAGCCAGGCGGGATGAAACACACTGCATGAGTTCTTCCTGAAGCTCAGACTTGTGGTCTTGTGATGGCTTCAAAATAATGTTTTGTTTATAAGAGGAGTTCGTTCTACCAGTCCTTCTTTCATTAAGGAGATGATCCAGCCGGATAGCAAAGTAGATGTGTTGGTCTAAGTACAGGTCCTTGTCTCTGCAAGCTAGTTCCGAAACTATGCCTAGAAGTCCTCGACGAAATGTTACCATTAAAGTGGGTTCATTTCAACCACTGCTGGCAGCTAGGGTGCGAAAGTCCAAAGCGTAATATGATACAAAGCGGTTATCTTGTCAGATCTTGATTAGTAATTCTCCACTAATTTTTCCCTCAATAGGATCAAAAACCAAACGAAAATCTTTCAAAAACTGGTCATATGACACGTTCTGAACAGTGGGCCAAACTGCAGTTGCCCGATCCAAAGCTGACCAAAAATGAAATTTTGGCTTGGTCAATATTAACTGGAAAGTTAGCAAAGTAGATGGAGCGTTGTAATAGAAACCCGTGACATTTCTCTGGAACCTCTTCAAATTTGTCCGGCTTACTTAGATAGAAGGTTGTTATGGGGACCTCTTCTGCTAAGGAAGCGTTAGCAGGTGGATTGGTCTGTGTAGCGAGACCCAGATTTTGACAGGTTGCAGACAGGTTCTTAACACTGTTAGCTATTTGTATTAACAGAGCTTGTTGTTCGGTTTGCTGACATGTTAAGGATTCTAGAGTTCGAGTTATCCCAGCAAGTACTTGTTGGTTTTGACCAAGCATCTATCCCTGGTTAAGTATGTAGCGTCATGGCATGGGTTTCCATGGCCGAGCAGCTGCAAGCAGGCCTTACATCACCAAGCACAATGCCAAGCGTTGGGTGGAGTGGTGTAAAACACTCCACCAATGGACTCTGTGGTCTGAGGGATAAGTCTGGGTTTGGCAGATTCTGGGAGAACCTTGTCTGCCTGACTGCATTCATGTGACGTCCATGTGTATGTCTATGCTATGAGGTGCTTGGCATCTAATTTTTTTTTTTTCACATCAAAACAGTATACACTGGAGGCGATACAATTTTAAACTTTTATAAAATTTCACTTTATGAAACACAACTGTAAAAAGTGTTTCATCTTGGTTGTCATCATGCCAACAGCAGATGCGATTGTGATTGGTCAGTGAGTTGTTGTTGCTGGTGAAAGTTCGCAAAAAACGAACAGAGGGCAGATAACGCAATGTTGCATTTTCTCCGTTCTAAAAATTGTCTTTGGTGTGCAAGATACTTTCAATTATACACATGCTCAAATTAATTTACTGTTGTCCAAATAAATTACATAAATAAATCGTGTTTGGTGTGTAAATGGCTTAAAGGCTTTTACTCTTATATATCAGTTACAGTCAGCAAACCGAGTCTGTACCACTTGAGGTGGGGGCCACTGGTTCAACCCCTAATTTACTACAGATATACAATTGAATGTAACGTGTCTGGGCATTCTTGTGCTTATATGTGTGAGTTTATACATCAGTTCACAGTAATCAGCCCAAAACTCCAGAGAGAAGTGCAGAGAGGCCATGAGGTAGTTATAATCCTCTGAAATGTTATCTTGAGATCACGACTTAACAGTATTTATGCCAATCATGACTTAACTATCTTGTGATCTTGAGATAATAAATGTTGTTATCTTAAGATCATGACTTCGTTATCTTGTGATCTCAAGATAACAAAGTTGTTATCTTGAGATCACGACTAAATTATCTTGTGATCTTGAGTAAACAAAACTGCTCTGGATTATTATCTTGATCAAAATTAAGTCGTGATCTCAAGATAGCATTCCAGAAAATTATAGCCACCTCATGGCCTTTCCGGACATCTGTACAAAATGCTACTGGCCCAGAGGATATTCTACTGACTCTCCTGATCACCCACTCTGGCATTGGGTGGTGGGCTGCTAGTGGGAACAAGCAGGTGTGCAAAAATCCCAGCAAAGCTGCTAGGTGTTTCTAGTAAAGTGGCTGCTAATTGGAAGCACAAAGTAGGTATTTCTAATACAGTGGACATTAAGTATAATTCATATTTTATTGGTGATTTGAGGTTGTCAGACTGGTTCAAGAGGTCATGGGGGAAAGCATCATTTAAATGAAATAATAATAATTATTGTAATTATGATTCATATATATATAACCAATTAAGTTATTATCTGTGAGAACTGAGCTCATGGCTGTTTCAAATTGATTAATGTTCAATTTGACCATAATCCCATTTTTAGATGACAAATTTAAACTGCTTCCTAAATTACTACACAGAATTTATGAGTCCATGAAATCTAATTTAAAATGTTATTATTCATTTCCAACTATTCTGCTGTCACAGAGGAGATTCTACAAAAATATCCAGCCCACTGGTGGTCCAAAGATGGTGCTCGTCTGGCATACCTTAAAGTCAACAACTCTGCTACACCTATAATGGAGATACCACATTTCCTGGGTGGGATCTATCCCTCAAATGTGCTCTATCCATACCCGAAGGTAAGAGGACAAAATCTTTGTGTAATTTTCCTCTCATACTTTTGCTATCATTGCAAAGACATTACATAATTATCGTATTGTTTTGCTATCCGGTGTTGACCAGAGGTAGAGTCCCCATTTGAGTCTTGATTCCTCTCAAGCGTGGTTCTTCATGATCATAAGGAGGTTTTCCTTGCCAGTGTTGTGCTTGGTTTGCTTACAAGGGACCCAGATTTCTGCAAAGCTGCTTTGTGACAAAGCCTATTGTGAAAACCACTATAGAAATACATTTTAAATGAATTGAATTTTGTCTGAATGGAATTATATTATATAAGTTCAGTTGCTTAAAATGTTGAATGTAATTTCTTAACCAAAACAATTAAATGCAAACCAGTGGAAGACAAGAACATGAAAAGCAAAATCAGAAAATTGAGATTACACATAACTAACTCAGTTACAAATGTGTGTGTTTTTTTTTGGGCAGGCTGGATCTAGTATCCCTTTGGTGAGCCTGTTTGTTGTGAATCTGTATGGACCAGCCCACACTTTGGAAATGATCCCACCTGACTCACAGAGCAGCAGGTATAGCTGGAGTCTGTGTTCATTATTAAGGCCATTAGAGGTGGGCAATTCAACAAACATACATCATACAAGTACTTCATTACTGTGCTTAAGTAATTTTTTAGGCATCTGTACTTTAGTTGAGTATTTCTGTCACTTAATACTTTTTACTTTCACGCACTACATTTTAAAAGAAAAATGTGTTTTGTAATCAGGCAATCCTATTCAGGCACCTAATGAAGTGCAAATCAGAATCCTACTGGATTGTGAAACTGTGGAAGAGGGAGAAGGAGGGTGATGGGGAGTGAACCTGTGATTGGTTTCTTTCACAGCTTACAGGCCCCAGCAGTGAGCATGTCGGAAAAGGAAGGAAAAAAAACAGATGAGACAATCAAATCCAAAGAAAGCAACAGTGTCAAGCCAGTACTTAGTGTGGATTATGGGTCTGAAAAAACCTGCATCCAAGGTTTTACTCAATGCTGGAGTGGGTAACCGGGAAAGTTGGGAGAATTCCTGGTGGGCCGGTAGTATTTTGGGCCAGTTACTGTGAGCTGATGAATAAACTTCACATAACTGCACATAAGCATAAGAAAGCTAAGACAAACTGTAAATGTTACATCAAAGTGCATTTCTGTAGCAATTTAGGGTTTAAACCAGCGGCCCGACTCTTAACCAGGGTACTGCCCTGGTTTGCTGACTGTAACTGAGACTTCATTTCCCGTTCCACCTTAAATGATGTAGCAGTTATGCTCAGATGCCAGAATGGATGCTAGCATGCAGCTGCAGGACTTTTAAGGTGAAATTTTCTGCCCATCCAAAGCTGAAAACAAATGTAAACAATGTCGTTGTTGGTTTTCTGAGAATGTAGAACTTTACAGTGTTCTTTTACTACAAAAGCTGGCATAGGCTTTGAGAAAATGTCAAAGCAAACGTCTAATGTTACTTCAGTACATTAAGCCATTATAGGTAGGACATAAAAAGGCTAGAAACATGTTTCATGCCCAATGTGGCAATATGCTGCTGCCATCGATTATTAAGTTTAGGTTTTTAAGGTTGCTGTGTTGTTTATCCTCGTCTTCGTCTAGCTGTTTGATTTAACTATAATGTCATCATTATTGGGTCTATCTGCTGTGACAATAATGTTTTTTGAGTTTGTTCATCTTTAACTTTGTAGCTGAAAGCGTCTGATTTTAACTTAGTTTTGTAGTCTTCTCTAGGCAGAAATGTCTGTGCTGAGCGAATGCGTGCTTTAAAATGGAGGTGCTACAGTGTTGGTTGTGTTTGTGTGAATCTAGCTTTCTGATCGGTTACTCTTGTTTTGTGTCAGGGTGGAAGTGTTGGAATATGTAGGGTGATTATTGCACTGCTGTTAGGAATAACCTGTAGCCTGAAAGAAATAGTTTTACTTTTTTACTCTACGTGCATTTAGGAGCCTGTGCATTTATATGTTTACCTCAGTAAAAAATGTAAGTCATACTTCAACTTTTACTTGAGTATTTTTAAGTGTGGGACTTGTGCACTTCTGCCACCTCTGCTTAAAATCATTTTAACAATACACAATACATGTCAGGATAATTCGTTTTTCTGATATTTAAGAAGCTGGACCAGCGCTACATTCGATTAATAATTGAATATAATGCTATCTTGAATTATTCATGTTGAGTTATTCATGATTCATGTTGTGGAAGTATCGATGATGTCCACAATATGCTCAGAAAAGCTTATCATTATGCACATTATTGCAATAACAATAGCATATCGCAAGCAGAGCTGTAAAAACTGAATTCATGCTCCTTAAAAGCAATTTGCTATAATTCTGGGAACATTTGAAAAGCACATGCAATCAGAGTGTTGGATTGATGCTGAATTATTCATTCTAAACTTTATTATCCTTTATTAACTTTATTTCTAGCTCTCTCATTTCATGTACTTACTGGGCATTTCTCAGTAATGTCTTTCAATTTCTCTTGTATATTGCTTTTAATATATTCCATATCCCTTGTATTTTAATATATTCCATATATTCCCTCCTCTCTTGCTCTCTCCCCCTGAAGAGACAGCTACATTTCCATGGTAAGCTGGATCAGTAGCACACGTCTGGCTGTGCGCTGGTTAAACCGTGTACAGAACCAGTCAGTGCTGTGCATGTGCGAGGCCACAACAGGAGCCTGCTCAGAGGTGAGGAAGTCAACAGTTTGCTCCGCTGCAGACCACTAGGTATCTTTATCTGTAAAGTGTCCATCGATTCCAGCCCCATTCTGCATGTTGCATGGCATGCTCTGATGCCAGCTTAGCCAAATTTCACACTGGATGAGTTTCTCTCTTCATAAAAGGTTAGAGGAAAGCACTGAGCCTTAACTTTAAGCCCACTATTTCAATGTCCAGTCTAATATTTAAAGGTCACTGACTCAGTAAGTGTGTGTGTATGTATATGTGTATGTTTGTCTGAAATTTACCTGAAGCTTCTCTTAGTCCCAGTCCTGTGGATCAACCACAGTTAACTTACATGTGTATGATATATGCTTACTTTTGTGTGTTCCCTGCCCCAACACTTATTTTCCCTCATCAGCTAATGACAAAGCCCATCATGAATTGCGTAATGTATATAACACAAAACTGAGCTGCTACAGCTCTGTAGTTTGCCAACATTCAGTCTGAATTCACTGCTCTTTGTAAAACGTTATTCACATATTATTTCTCTAATTATGTACAAATCTGAATGTGTGTTAAGCTATCAGTTAAATCATGGTACAAGTATAAATACAGGGTCGTGAAAAGGTATGGTCTCCCTTCTGATTTTCTCTATGAAATACTGTCACAGTGAATGCTTTCAAATCTTTAAACAAAAAAAATGTAACATTAGACAAAGAGAAAATTTCCAAACACAAACTGCATTTTTCAAATTATTATTGAATTTATTTAAGGAGCAGTTATTCAATGTGGAAACCCCCCTGTAAAAAAAGTGATTATCAGCTTAAATACACATGGTACATTTGAAGGGAGAATTCAGTTGTATAAAGATTACATTGTTTGAGCGAGAAGGCAATATTTGAGCAATATGGAAATAAGTTAGATAGCTTGCTAGTAAGATTAAGTGAGCTAACTTTGACTGATGAATTCCAAAATTTATAAAGGCATAAAAAGCATCTGTATTGTATCTAATTGCAAACTTCTGTTACATTAAAACAAATAAGAAATTGCTCCAAATGCATTCAATATTGTTCTTTTATCTCCATAACAAAAGCAACATAGAAACGGTCACCAAAGGCAAGCAGTGAACCAAATTTAACTGATAACGAGATTAAGCTGTTTCAACACAGCCTGGCTTGAATGCAACCAGCCCTACTGAATGTAAACCTGACATATATTTTCAAGCCTCCCAACAAAGTGAAGCAGTTGCCTCAAACTTTTTACAAGCACAGTCGGCCATGATAAAAAGAAAATGCAAAAGAGGTGATGAAAAAAGCTGTTGATCAGTCTGGAAAGGGTTACAAAATGCTTCTGAGTTTCTAGAACAACAGTGAACCACAATGAGAGCTATTATCTACAAATTGAGAACCAAAGGAAAATTGGTGAATCTTCCCAGGAGTGACTGGCCTGCCAAAATTTCCCCAAGGGCATAGAGACAAATCATCCAAGAAGTCACCAAAGGTTCCAGAAGAACATCCAAGGAACTGCAGATATGTAGTCTCTGTTGACTCCATATTCATAAAGGAGCAGGAAGGCAGAAAACATTGCTAACCAAAAGAAACATTAGTGCTCGTCTAACGTTTGCAAAATTCCCTAAATCTTTTGGGATAATGTCTACAGACAGAGCATTTCTTTCACAGTAGGAACATCATATCAACATTCAAACATATTTTGCTGCCTCCTGAACCAGACTTGCTAGAACTGAAGAAACTATGAACTCTGTTCTGGAATAGAAAATTCTTAAGAAGAGTGTTTGCAATTACTTTTTTTACGTGAATATTTTACATGTTGCACATCTTGGCTTCTTAAATAAATAATGAAATAATAATTTGGAAAAAAGTGTTTTGTGCTAAAAAAGGTTCTATTACATTTTGTTTAAAGATCTAAAAGCATTCACTGTGACAATTATGGAGTAATAGAGAAAGATAGGAGGGAGCAGTTTTACAGTGCTATAAACAGTAATGGGTCCTAATAGTATATCCCTGAAGATGAGCAATGTATTGCAATACTCTCCAGAATGGTTCACTGTTACATATTGTACACCTTTGTCTGGCACCTAGGACAGACACATTTTTATTTATAAGCTGTGACACCTTTTTTCTTTTTTATACCCTCAGAAACACAAAATGGCTGTGGACCTTTTGCAGAATCAGCAGCAGGTAGTTTCAGTCTCCCTGTCTTTTCCATCTCCTTCTTTTCCCCTTCTTTTCTCAGAGGGTGGATGTACAGCATAATCAATTTTCAACCTCCATTCTTTTATTTATGAATGCAGCATTGACCTGTGACAGTAATGAAGCTGTGTGCGCTGTCATTGATCGGTTGCTGGGGTGTGTATTGATGGTGACTTCTCTGACAGGAGGAGCCGTTGTTCTCGGCAGATGGCTCTCAATTTTACCTCACGCTGCCTGCCAAGCAAGGGGCCCGTGGGGAGTTCCGCCACATTGCCAGCCTCCCTGCCCAGGTCTGTTGGACTGGTCATTTCATGCTGTTCAGCTCAGCGTGATTACTCACATTTACTTTGGCTGTTAATGATTAAAATCTGGCACCTCCATGGGGCTGCATACAGTATCATATACATCGCTGTTTGTGTGTACATCCTGACAGAATTGGGTACAGGTAAAGTACACAATGCAGACACTGATAAAACGCAAAAGGGTAGTGGTAGTCATGTCCTATGTCTGTCTCCTCACAGAAAGTCATGATCTAAAAGCAGCCTTAGTAAATGGAAGACATTCACTGCTACACTTCTTTACTCTTTCCTTCTATCTATACTCATTGTTCATTTACCTTATAGGTGTTCTATAATTAAATATTTTCTCTTTCTCTGCATAACTGTCTCCCCTCCCCTGCCTTTACCCCTTTCATCAATAGTTAGGATCCCCACAGGACTAGCACTGAGTGAATATTACTTGGGTGGTGGATGGCACCATGGCAGTGTGCTGAACTGGTACAGGTGGAGTTTTTAAACACTGTATCCACTTACTGTCCATCTCTTTTAGATATACTGACCATATTGGTCCACTTTGTAGATGTAAAGTTACAGATGATGGTACATCTTTTGCTGCACAGTTTGGTTCTGTTGTTTTCTAGTCCATCATCAGTGGTCAGTTTCTGGTCAGAGAATGCTGTTGGCTTCATTTTTTGATTGGCAGACTATTCTCAGTCCAGCAGTGATCAAGAGTTGTTTAAAAACTTCGGAGATTCTATGTAGCACACACATACACACTTACATGCCACTACTTTGTTGGTGTCACTACAGTGCTGAGAATGATCCAAAACCTCAATGTTACCTGCTGGTGGAATCTTGACCACAGATGAGCAGGGTAGAGGGTGGCTGACAAATATGCAGAGAGAAACATGGATTACAATCTGTGATTGAAGATGTACAAAGTGCACACGTATGGTAAGTGAACTTGATTCAATGGACAATGAGGATAGATAGAGGGTAGATGTGCCAGCGAGTGTGAAGAGAATATGTGCAAAATGAAATAAATAATAAACTGGGCCCCTGAGTGAGCCACGTTAGTGGACGGCCCTTTATAAAAAGGCTATATATAGAGTTCATCAGGGATTCTTTAAACCTTTGTGGTGTTACGTTGCAAAAGTCTAGATTCAGGATGCACATTTGAATTCATTGCTCCCAGTGGGCTAATTAAAAACGTCATTGATGTACATCTACAAATTACAATAAACAGTCTAATGAACAATTGACTAAAAGAGCATAATTGGTCTTTTTGTATGGTTTCTGTCATTACTTGTCAATTACCATCCATATAGACCAGGTCCTCTTTTTATGTCTACTCATACTACATTAAGGTAACAGTTAATATTGTCCTGTATTTGTATGGTGTGTAGTACTGGTCCTCTCTTTAAAACAAAGCTTTTCATTAGAGATCTTTTGCATTAAATAGTATGTAATATTACATGAAGAAACTCAGTCTTTAACTCTGTTTTGCTTAACCACCACTCACCAGTGTATTTTATATTACTCTTGTGTCCCTCTTTATATCTCTGTAGCTTTTTTGAAGTTCCACCTGCTTTTAATGTGATTGTTTTCATCCCCCATATCCTTTCTTCACCCTCAAACTTCTTTCTTTCTTTCTCTCTCTCTCTCTCTCTCTCTCTCTCTCTCTCTCTCTCTCTCTCTCTCTCTTTCTCTCTCTTTCTGTCCCTCCAGCCTGCTCTCCCCTCTGCTTCTCCTCGCTTTCTTACTTCAGGGAACTGGGATGTAACTACACTTTGTGCTCTGGATGAGAAGAATGGTAAAATGTACGCAAGGGATGTCTTACCTTACATGTGTAGCTATCAAGCTTACGGCTTCGCAGGTGGCACTGAATTCAAGCTCAGCTGCATAATTTCAATTTGTATGGATTGTAATGAATTATTAATTTATAATATTAGTTCTTTTCTCTTCTTCTGTAATAACGATCATGTGAAGTATAACACTTCAGCTATTTTCAATGTAGCACATTAGCATATCAAAATGCCTTAGCCATTGTTAGGATTGCACACTTTGAAACAAGAAACAATCCAGCTCAGTCATTTGGCAGTTCATACCTCGCTCAACAAATCCTGACTGGTAGCCTAGCCTCTCATCTAAGGCCTAGCTAGCATTAGTGATAAAGCACTAACCTCAGTTGGTCGTCAAATATTTTTTTCTTTGCCCAAAACACTTGTAGTCTTTCAAAATCTATTTCTACCCTCTACATACATCATCACAATGGGGTTTTTCTAGTCTTTAATCCAGGAAATCTCACTTTAGTGATTTCACTTTACTGTGGCGCTACTGTAGGAGGCGAGGAAGCATGTTTACCACACATGTAGCTATGGTTACTTTTATGTTTATTATTTGTTTTGGCTGGAGTGTCCCTTTAATATTCAGTGGACTAGTTTTAAAGATTTACAGACGAAGTTTAATCACAGATAAATCAGTGTCTCTGTCATCACACCAAGCAATAAACGTGAACTATAATATGGCTTTCTATCTGCATTAGAATAGATTTTAACTTAGAAACATCACATCACAGTCATACTAATATAATGTCAGCTCTTCTTCTCCATTTGATTTTATGCTTAGTAGCGTGGTCTTGACAACATTGGCTAGGTTTGTGATTTATCGTATTTTGATAGTACAGAATCATTTGGTGCAGTCTGAAAGTAAGTGAATGGTGACACAATTATTAATGTTTTGCCCTTGTATTCCTTCATATTTAATTTGAAGTGAAACAATGACTACAAGGATAAATTGAAGGTTAAATGTCATCTTTAATTAGAGTTTTAAATCTACATTGTGTGAATAATAGTGGAACCATAGTGGAAGTCTTTTTAGGTTTGGTTCTAACTTTAACCCAATTTCAGATCCAGTTGTTTAATATGTTTAAACTCAGATGCTGGAGCCAAAACAATAAAAATTGTCACTGTCCAGTGACTTACAGACTGCACTGTATATAACACATATATATTCTGTCAACATACTGCAGTGTTTCATGACATACACTATATGGACAAAAGTATTGGGATGCATGCCTTAATCATTCAATTAAAGTGTTTCATTCAGTCTCATTGCCACAGGTGTATAAAATCAAGCACCTAGCCATGCAGTCTGCCTTTACCAACATTTGTGAAAGAATGGGTCATTTTAAAGAGGTCAGTGAATTCGAGCATGGCACTGTAATAGAATGCCACCGTTGCAAGTAAGTTCGTGAAAGCTCTTTCCTCCCAGACATTCCATTCTGATGGACGAGTCTGGGTTTGGTGAATGCCAGGAGAACATTACCTGTCTGACTGCATTGTGCCAAGTGTAAAGTTTGATGAAGGAGGGATAATGCTGTGGGGTTGTTTTTCAGGGATTGGCCTTGGCCCTTTAGTTCCAGTGAAGGGAAATTTTAATGCTTCAGCACACCAAGACATTTTGGACAACTTTGTGGAACCGTTTGGGAAGGGCTCTTTTCTGTTCCAGCATGACTGTGCCCCAGTGCACAAAGCAAGGTCCATAAAGGCATGGTTGGGTTTCATTGTAAGCCAGGCCCTCTCGTCCAACATCAATGCTCTATTGGATTAATGGGCATAATTTCCCACAGACATACTCCAAAATCTAATAGAAAACTTCTCAGAAGAGTGGAAGCTGTTATAGCTGCAAAGTGGGGACCAACTCCAATATTAATGCCTAAGGATTTAGAGTGAAATGTCATAAAAGCTCCTGTAGGTATAATCTATATCTCCCAATACTTTTGTCCATATCGTGTATGACTAAGCAGTTTAAATACTAGGGTAGACAATATTCCCAAAACATTTTCTCAATGTCACTGATTTTTATCACCACAAAAAACTTATTAGAAAAGGCTTCAAGGTCTCTGTTTTTTTTCTCCACAGTTATTTCCTGAGCACAGAGGAGTCGAGACATAGCAGACATTTATACAGGTGAGCCTCTGCCTCCTGCTCAAAGTTCCCCACGACTGTAATTGAACACTTCATCATCCTGAGTGGTACTGCCTGGGTGTTCTAAGGCTAGCCCATCACACAGCATTATTTGAATCTAAATTTCAAAGAAAGCACACCTTTTGAAAGGTTTTTATGATCTTGTTAATGTGCGCTCATTTTGAAAGTCGCTGTCCTCCCTTAAGGTAGTTAATTTTTATCTGCACACTCACTTGAACTGCCCCCGACCCTTCTGGATTGCTGGTACTATGTGTCATCAATGCCTTGAATTACAATTAGTCAAGTCCTGCCAGTGTGAGTAGGGCCAATGGGATGGCGTTTTTGGGGACATTTGTTTGCAGCAGATGAAGTTTTTTTTTTTACTTTGCTGAGCTGCAGGCAAGCGATTTCGTCTAATTTGTTTAACAGTAATGGGAGAAGGGAGGAAGTATATAGAGAAGCAGTGTGACTCACTTGCATGTAAAGAGTGTTCCCTAACCCATGATTAATACCTTAAGCCTCTCAGTCACTCAGCCCAGGCCATAACTTTTGCAATGCTCCAAGCAAAAGGGAAAGAACATAGTGGTCTACTTTTTTAAGTATAGATAAGCGTTACATAATCAGCGCTATTGTATTACACACCTGAGGGTCCAATAAAATACTTGTTTGTTTTAAAAATATTAGCTTTCTCCACAGATTTAACTAGACACTTGAATGTGATACGTGCATTATTTAAAGGCTTCCGATTCTCGTTGTTATCGTAACATGCAGAGGTCAAAACACCAAGATGTTAGAAAGCTGGTTGAAACTGGCTGTAAAATCTGGACATTTGGATATAAATTGTTTGAAAGATTTTCTTCTTTTGATTAATTTGAAAAAATAATAATTTGTATTTATTTTTTGGAACTCTTCCAAATTCATTTACATCATCACATGCACTTCCCTGTGAATTTTGGGTAACTCCATGAATAGTCTGTAGAAACCTGCATGCCATGCAAACTCTCTGGTGGTTCTCAGGAAGTGTGCATTATCCTCTCATAGCCTAGATGGATGGTAGAATTAGATTACAACACTTTGTCTGTAATGTGCACGTTAAGCCCGAATGTCTGCAAATCCAGAGAAGTGTATAAATGTTCTGTATTACCAGAGATGAGGCATCAATTGCGATCCAAAAAGCTAGGCGGCGTGTCTAAGTGGGCATGAAACACAAGCATGTAACACAAATTAATGTTTTGCTAGCCACATTACATCACTCACACAACAGTATTTTCTTTATCAATTTTTGCAAACTGGCTCCTTTCTGATGACATGACAAAGCAGCCTTAGTTGACATTATATAATGCAAATGAGAAGCTTTCATAGGACAGTGCTACTGAGGACACACCTTCCTTAGTTGCAGCCTAGCTTTCGCACCCCAACTTTTGTGGCAGAATAGCACACAACCTCCAGTGTTCTGTTGCTTTTAAACAGTATTGCAACATTAAAACAGTGAATTAAAGAAGCTCCAAACCTTATGTCCACTACAACATTTTAATATTGGCAGTTTCTTCACATAAAAGGAGTAGTTTCGGTAACTTACAGTAAAGACCATTGTCACTAAGCTATCAGTGGTCAGTGGAATGATTCAGGTATGGTGAAGAAAAACATGCTGTTATATAAAAAATGTATAGAATGCTTTTAACCAATTAGACTATGAAGTCAGAACTAACCATGTGTAATTACTTTATATTAAATATAATTACTATCTTGCAGTGCTGAACTTGGAGGGGTGTTCCATCGTCACTGTCTGACCTGCAACCTCTTTGAGCGCTGTAGCTTCTTCAGAGCTGACTTCAGTCCCAACCAGACACACTTCACACTCTACTGTTTAGGTAGGGAAGCACAAACCCAATGGACACACTGAGGGTGGTTAATACAGTACTCAGCAATTACACTGGCAGTCAAAAAGACTTGCTCAGATGCACATACACTGAGTTGCCTAGTTTTTAGATTCTCCTGCCTTGTACCTAGGCATAGGAAGGTGAACCCTGCCATATTGGTCTTCTAGGTGTTTAATTACAGACCGCAGACTGTTGTTATCCACTCACTACCCCATTTATTACTGGTTAGTTTCTGACCACAGGACTGGTGCTAACCAGGTATTATTTGGATAGTGGACCCTTCTCTGCACAGCACAAACACTGACATGGCCAGGGTATCGGGCACAAAAACCCTTTTCACTGATGTGCATTTCAGGACTGTAGATTATCTGTTTATGCACAATTTGTCTTCTAGTCCTTCGTCAGTGGTCAGTCAGTCTGCTGCTGACTGGATGTTTTTGGGTGGTGCACCACTGTTAACCAAGCAGTGACACTGACGTGTGTAAAAACACCAGCAACACTGCAGTTCCTGATATGCTCACACCAGTGCCACACACTTACATGCCACTACCATACTAATGTCACTGCAGTGATCTGCCATCCAAATAATACCTGGTCAGCCATCATCCATTGGTGCCTCTTTCCACTGATAGGTAGTGAAGAATGCATGGGAAGTTGTTTTTTTGACAAGGTTGCCGACTAAGCATCAAAAAACCTAACAAATGCAACAGTAGTTAACATCATTCTCTGTTAACCCAGGTTTAGATACTTAAGCTATAATTAATCTTTGCACATTTGTACATTACAGTGTGATGAGGAGATGAGGAGAAATCGATTGGCTTATATTACAAAGAAGGAAAAGTAATCATACTATGTAAATTTGTACAAACACTGCTGTCATGTTATGCATATTGGAGAATAACTTTTATATTCTTGATCACTGTGTAGTGTGATTTGTTCCTCAAGTGATATTTTTCATGGGATTGATGCAACAAATGTAAATGTAAAAATTGACCAAGAAAGAACCAGAAGGGTCCATTTCTATCAGAAGGCTATTCCAGATTGGTCAAAAGCTTGCCTTGATTGGTCTAGTTGATCCCAAATTCATCTTGCCCTAGAGAAGATTAGGCATTCAGAATAAGTTGCTATGCTGATGTAGCCCGGTAAAGAGAGGTCCATCGTCACAAGACTGAAAATCCAGGATTACATCCAACTACGTTTATAGATTTCTGGCTGAACAAGAAATCTTGCTGAATGAGGCAGGCCCTTAGTTTAAATGTCTTTTTTTATGGTGCATGCAGTTGTTCAGTATTTTAGTAACAATATCTGTGATATGCTCAGAAAACTGTATTGTGATGTAATATTACAATAACAATAGCATATTGCCTTATTGCCCACCCCTAGGACACAAACACAAAATAATTTACCTTCTACTTTACAGGCCCAGGGGTTCCAAAGGTGTCCATCCACAGCACAAATGACTCCTCCCGTGAGTGAGCCTTGCTTTCTTATTGATACAATCCGTTTACACAGAATAAACAGAACAAATTCCGTAAGTTTCAAAGAGAAAACTCATATATTAACACTTTTTATTTAATTATGCCTCCATTGCTCATATGTGCACAAAAAATTGCAAAAAGTGATAAAAGATTAACTGATGTAACTACAAGCTGATGTAAGATTCTTGCAAGAGAGATTGGGTAATTGCTAACAGAATAGCTCATTCGATACCACTTAATTAGCCTTCAGTGAAGTGCTGTAGGGATTATTAGAATTGCTGTACTCACAAGTCCCCTGCTGAGATGCAGTTTAAAAATGCATATTTCCAGAAAAGGGAAGGCACAAAGAAATGATCAGGAGGCTTGAATCATCACTAAGTATGACAGCAGAGATTTCTAAAGTTTGTATAGGCTCATTTATTGTTCATTGTTGACATTGTCAAAGAATGTGAAACTGGAATGTTTCCATTAAACTAAATGTCTCTCCTGGCTTTGAGAAATATGTGTTTGTTTATTAAATGCACTTGATAAATTGAATTGGTGTAAATGAGATTGACGTGTCATATCATCAGGATACACAATGGTTGAGGACAACAGCCACCTTTCAGCATCTCTTGGCATCAAGCGTCTTCCGGAGACGCTCTTCAAAACGCTCTCCTCTGACAACTATGGTAAAGTTGTAATCCAATTGATTTTTTGTCTACAAACTCTCCTCTACTTTCAGGCGTGGTACGATCTATCTAATTGTTTTGTTAATTGAATCTTCACAGCAGCCAGACTGCTCCATTTTTTCACCATTAGGGAGTTAACAGGCTCCACAGCCGGATCTGTGTGTGTGTGTGTGTGTGTGTGTGTGTGTGTGTGTGTGTGTGTCTATATGTCTGTATGCATTTAAGTACTTTGCTTCATATGAATGTGTTCATATTTCTGCATACATGTTATGTGACTGTGCCAATATAATTAAGCACACCGTGTGTGTGTGTGTGTGTGTGTGTGTGTGTGTGTGTGTGTGTGTGTGTGTGTGTTTGTGTGTGTGTGTGGTGTGTGAGTGAGTGAGTGAGTGAGGGAGAAGGGGAGAAACCCTATTACACTCACGGGAATCTACTTGCTCTTGGAGGTTTAATATTGATGAGCTTGCGTACAGACACTTCTGCAGTATTTTACAAGCAGAGCAGAGCAGTGCTGTGCTATGTTTTAACTGCCTCTGTACATAATTCTAGACCTGCATCTGAAGCTCTCCCTGCCTCCGGGGTATGAGGGAAACTTGCACCCCCTGCTCATCATTGTGTAAGCTTGCACTGTGTGTTATCAAGCATAAATCACTGTTATTACAGCTGTCCTCACACTGCACTTCATTATGGTCCATGATTAATTATGTATGGTAATTATTTCAATATTGATGTAACAATCATTGGGACTTATCAGAAAATTGTGACCTCATTTGAAATATGCTTGTAATTATAATTCTCCCATATGTGCATCCATCCTCATTTTTCTCTCTTCCTCGCTCTCTCATAGTGATGGCAGTCCAGGCAGTCAGACAGTGACGGAGGAATTTTCCCTGGGCTGGCCTCAGGTTCTGTCCAGTCTGCATGGAGTATCTCTTGCCTGGGTGGATGGCAGGATTAGAGCCTCGCGAGGTCAGAAGACCAGCACAGTGGACACCCGCAAACTGGGGTCACTCCGTATCAAAGACCAGCTAGGGGTAGTAGAGTGAGTATGTTTCAATATCAATATGTTTTGAAAACAAGGAACTTGGTACAGATGTGTGCAGCATTTTATATATCGTTGTTGTCAGAACAACACCTCATATCTCCAAATTGGTAACTTTACAGGAAAAGGAAAAAACCTACTTTACTTTTAATGTAAGTCCATGGACCCAGACCTTTTCCATTCATCATGAAATTTACATACAATGTAAAGGACAACAGGTATTTTCAAATAATTTCAAAAACTAAAAAACGAGGTTTTCTTCCGACAGGAGCGATAAATGGACTCCCCACATGAAGGGGCCATAAGTAACCGAACACATTATCATAATGTTTCATTTAGGAGAGAAACCCTTCCTTGTGTTGCTCTGCCAGGCCTATATTGAGAACATTTAAGGTCCTGTTTGCTTAAGTAATTGAAACATATGCTCATTGTTGTCAAGTGATTAACAATTTTTGATGCCAATCAATATTATTCTACGTTTTGTTGCTCAAAACTGTGATATTTGCTTTAGCAGTGGATTCACACTAACGTGAAGAAGTTTTGTGGCATCTAATTGAATTTCAGTAGCTTCTGTTCACTTCAGAATTTATCCTCTTGCTGCAACTTTCAGCAGTCACATCAATTACACTTACCATCCACTTTGTTAGAAACTCCTAGCATGGACTTCCACTCACTGGCCACTTTATAAGGTCAACCTATACCTTGTAAATCCCTTATATAGGCGTACAATTCACAATTTGTCAGCCACCCTCTACCCCACTCCTCATTGGTTAATTTCTTACTACAGGACAGCTGTCAACCAAAAATTATTTGGCTTGTAGATCATTCTCAGCACAGCAGTTACACTGACATGGTAGTGGCATTGTAGTGTGGGTGGTGCTGATTCAAGTGTAACTGGCACAGTGGCACGGCAAAGTTCATGTCAGTAGTAAGTTGAGAGTGGCGCAGCAAAGTTCATGTCAGTAGTAATTTGAGAGTGACACACCACTCAAAATAATCCAGACAAGAGCAGCTCTGTGGCGAGAAAGTCAAAGGTTAGAAAATGGTTAACAGAACTTTTACAGCAGAGCTACCGCATAGGGGCCTATGTCCTGACCTAAATAGGGTTCTTAATAAGTACAGCAGTTTTGCTTCATGACTAAACATGCAATTAAGTCATTACTTACTGTAGTGACCCATGGTCTGCTGAGTGATTTGCTGTCGGTAGTAAAGCAAGCAGTTTGACACCCATAATATTTTGGCTATATCTGTGATTGATTTATTTTCATTTATTTTATTTTTGTGATGGCCTGGCTTACTGGAATTGACACCTCGAAGTTTTTTGAGGCCTTTTTTAGAGACGTACAAAATATCTCTATTTTATGCATTATTAATCCTATCATTTTGGAACTTTTCAGGTGGCTGTCTCAATTGCCTTATATTGATGCTCGAAGAATTGCTCTTTATGGAAAGGTACTTAATTTTTTCCCATTTGGAATTCTGTTCCTTTCACCCACAAGGCTTATGTAAATGAACATTAGCTACTGATCTAAGAATAAATCCTCTGTTATCGTTGTGTGGTAAAACACTAAAGTCTTAGTGATCTCATAGAATTACTGATCCAGTGTAATTACTTTGTCTGCATGTTTAATACTGGTTTCCATTGTAATGTCTGTAATGTGCTTTGATGTTTGTCTTAATAGGGATTTGGAGGCTATTTAATTTTGAAGATTCTTACAGCAACTGAGCAGATGTTCAGATGTTCAGCCATCATGGCCCCTATCACAGACTTCAAACTCTACAGTGAGTCCATCAGAGACATCCGTACAGCTTACATTGTGACCATACTTGCTATTGATCTAAATCTAATCAACACCTTTTTGCAGATGCTGCCTTTTCAGAGAGATACCTGGGACTCCCTGGAAAGGAAGAGCATGCCTACATGGTCAGAACTTTCCTAAATTTAACATCTATGTAATTGTCACTTGACCATTTTTAGCATTTATGAACTGCAAGATTATAATTCATATACAATCAATTTGTAAAGAATTTTCAAGGGTATGGAGAATGCATTTTAACTCAAAAACCTTTTCAGATCTTGAACATTTCAGATAATGTGATTAGGCTTCTAATATATTCATATAGAACAAAGTGTAAGCTGTAATCCTCCAGTCATACAATCATCATTAAACAACAACGTTTAATGTAGAAACCTTCTAATTAGCTTTATAGGTAGCTTTTGTTTGCCCACTTACCACTGCAAAGACAATGCTAATTTTGCTTATATTATGTTAGTGTATTTTTAGCACCATTTAACCACCATATTCTTTTCTTTGGATGTTGCAGTCTGGATTTTGATTCTTTCAGTAAAGATTTAAACTTAAAACTTGTCTCTGAATTTAAAATCGGCTGAATCAGTTATTTAAACAGAAATTTAGTGTTATTGAAATGTGACATCACTGTCCTTCAGACATCTGTACGTGAAAAAGCAACTGCAGTGGTAGGGTTGCCAGCTTCAATGCGGAAAAACAATATACGCCCCATCTTCCATTCAGGCCTGTACCTTGACAGCTTCTTGCGTTTTTAATGTGGACTTGCATTTGAAGACATTTTTTAAAAAATGATGTTGATGTGCAATCTCACACAGAGTTTGTAACTTTTGCCCCTTACCTCTGATTTTGAGCTTCTCTGCTATTTCTTGTGAAACTGCTTTGGGTTTATTTACTATAAAGATCTAGTGTACATATAAAATGATATGTATAAAAATACAGCCAAATTCTTTCCCTGACTGATTCAGTAAGGGACACAGCATTTCATGTTTTAATATGGGACGATCCTGTGTTATAAGGGACGGGTGGCAATGCAGTGGTGAAAGTATGAAGTGGAAGTATTTATTTGAGGAAGCAGGACATGTGCTCGATGTGATGCTACAATGAGCAGCAAATCCTAACAGCCATATAATATATAGAATCTTATGTTTTAATAAATCACATACTTTAAAGAATCACATATAAACATATATGTGAGCTGGCAAGGAAAATGCAATCTATGTCTCTATTTCCAGATTTGTACATGCTTATTTATTCCACTAACTTCCATGTTTCTGTGTTGTACCAATAGACAGCCTCTTTACTAGAAGATGTCCACAAATTAAAGGATGAAAATTTTCTCCTGTTGCATGGCACTGCAGATGGTATGTTTTTAAAGAACAGAAAAAGCCAAAGTATATAGCAGTTTTGCATTTTTAGATGCTCAATAATTTTGTATATATATGTGTGTGTGTGTGTGTGTGTGTGTGTGTGTGTGTGCGCAGCCCGTGTACATTTCCAACACAGTGCAGAACTGCTGAGTCGGCTGGTGAAGGTGGAGGCCAACTACACACTGCAGCTGTACCCAGATGAGGGCCACACTCTGAGAGAAGAGCGCAGCATCCAACATATTCACCGATCTCTCCTTCACTACCTTCACAACTGCCTCAAACACGACCCCTTTTTGGTCACAGAAGAGGAGGAGGAGGAAGAAGAGGACTGAACTCATCTGTTGTGCCCCTTACATTCTCAAGAGAGATTTGAAGAACTAGTGTCTCTCTCCTTACCATCCAGGATCCAGTTAAAGTTGCTGTATTTAGCCAAAAGAAAGAGGAACTGTACAGAGATCAATCAAACAAGCCCTGCCAGACAGCCACTTTCAGCAGCTGAGGCTGTGAAGAGAATTAACCTCTTTTAAGTCTTTTTATGTGTTTTGTCCTTTGGGTGTGTTGGAGGCCTGTTGTAATAAATGCACAAATGCTGAGTGGTACAGTATTCTACACATAAAGTCCACAAGGCTTGTTCAGCCAAACTTGCTTTGTCAATGGACAGTCTTGTGTGGCATTGAACATCAGCTAAATTCTTACAGTGACACCCTGTGACAAAGTAAGGCTACTGCAATGGACTTCATGGTTTGCAGTGGTTGAGAATCACTGACATAAACTCTTGTAGTCTTACTAGTGTTTTCTAAAGTAAACATAATTAAACAGAAAGCTGCAACATGTTATCTGGCTCTAGCCCTTGCATGACAAGAGGACTGCATGGTGAAGTATATTCTGACTTTTTCATAACTGTGTACCAACCGAAATCAGTATATCAGTGTATCGTCAAGAATCAGCATAACCTAAATGTCAGAGCTTGAAGAATGTGTGACAGAAAATAAGGCACTTTCAAAGCATTGCAGTACCAGCACATATCCCTGTATGAAAGACTAGTGGCGGTCTCGCAACCTGTGCATTGTCCTGCATGTTATGCGATGCTTTACTAATGCCTCAGTGTTGACTTTACATCTCTTAATATGTTCTTACTCATGCATTATTATGCCATTACACAAAGTGTCTGTATGTTGTATGAATTCCAAACAGGAGTTCCGGTATATTCTTTATTTATTGTTGTTATGCTGTCTGTGTGTTGCCAAACAAAATGTGCCAAATATTGTGTGACCAAAATCTTTTAGGCTACTTCAGTCATAGACTTGAAATGTTTGATTAACGCTTCTCAGCATACAGTTTTATTTGCAGGGTCTCATCATAATAATGTCAAGCCCCGAATGCCTTGTGGGTCAGTTATTCCCAGATGCCTAGGTGCAGTACTGAGGCATCTTACATGCTTACATGAAGCAGAACACATTCTATAAACTGGAGTATGAGAAGAAAAAAAAACATTGCAAAGAAATATAGCAATAAGGCATACAGTATACATAGAGTGTACAAAATATTATGAATGCATTTAATAGGCTGCCATACTGTGCACAACCAGTTCAGTTAAAATGCACCTATTTGGGGACCATAATTGTGCTAAAAAATTGTACTTTGAGTAAGCTGTAGTAGACTACTAAAAACCTTTTTTGTTCAGTTTAAATAACAACAAAGTAGCAAAGTATGATTTTAAAAAAATGAGTTTTTGTTTCTTTATTTATTTATTTATAAATCATAGTGGAGAAAATATCCACAAAATATTCCCATATTACAGTAGATGACAAAGGGCCTCTGAACTATGGCACCATCATTGTGAGGAGTTGTCTATGAGGAAAACAAAGCAGCATTATCAATATAAACGATAATCAAATATTTTCTCTCATTGTTCATTGTACATACACTCTCCCCTGTCTGCCCGATCTGGACTGCTGTCATTGACTAATATGGACAGTCTGCCACATATGCCAAGCTTTAGTATAGCTAATGTTATGCGTACCTTTATATTTTATGCTCAAATACATACCCTTAGGCCAAGACCTGCTTTGAGTAAACATGAGGTCCCAAAATAGGCATTTCTCACCACACATCTGGTCATAGACAGGATGGAGACCTACTAGGTACACTGTAATGTGGCCATTCCTAGTGTTTTGTACACTTAGCATAGAGCCTCACACAGAAGTGAGACTTATTCAAGATTATCACAACCTAACCATTTGTTTTTTTCGTTGTGTTTTTCTTCTAAACTGGGAAATTTTGATTTGTTAAGTGTACAGTACTTTCTTATAGTGATTGTGTGTATTATTGATAGGTATTTGAAATTTTTCAAGAATGAAAATCTGCGCTAACATTGTGATGCACTCAAGACAAATTCCTTATTTCAGAATGCTCTATTATATCATTGACACAGGAAAATCCCATATGAAAAAATATTCTGAGGGCCATGCAAATTGGTAGACTGCATGAAGTCTGTTTGGAATGAGTGTCCTTCAACCTTGATGCGTGTTTTTAAGGACTGTTTTCCAATAAAGTCTTTTTGTGTAAATTGAGTTTAACACTGTTCATGCTCCCCATTAGCAACGCACTCTGCACAATAATAAACAATATCTTGATTAAACAGCTTAACCAAATTATTGTTAATTATTATTGTGCACTGAGCACTGAGTAAGTAAGGGGACACACTGCCATGTCATAGTTTCAAATGTATAGATATCACAAAGCAAGGTCCATAAAGGCATGGTTGGGTGAGTTTGGTGTGGATGAATTTAACTGTAAGCCCACACAGAGCCCTGCCCTCAACCCCATCAAACATCTATGGGATGAACTTGAACGGCCAGGCCCCCCTTGTCCAACATCAGTGTCTGACCTCACAGATGCTCTTCTGGACAAATGGGCAAAAATTCCCACAAACACCCTCCAAAATCTTGGAAAAAAAGCTTCCCAGAAGAGTGGATGCTGTTATAGCTCCAAACGGGGGGACCATCTCCATATTAATGCCTATGGATTGAGAATGAGAAGTCATAAAAGCTTCTGTAGGTGTAATGTGTATGTGTCCCAATACTTTTGTCCATATAGTGTATATAGCATTATTCTCATTTCGACTCTTTAACGACTTTTCAGTAACATTCCTGGAAAAACGCATACAGGAACTTTACGGCTGTGGAACTTTTTTGTGAAAATCGTGTGATAGCCATTTTTTTTTTTTTTTCCCCCATAGAGAAAAACTGCTTAACCTCAGACTTCCTAACATAGGCATGACTGTGACTACAGAATGATGCACAACTTTAGAGGTTTAATTGTTTAGGAACTACTTTTGTTTCCTGCAATACTTGGAATAAATTTCCTACAAAAACTAAATGTGATACAAATATTACAAAGACTTACTTAATAACAACACATTCATTCTTTCTCTAGATTTCCAAAAAGGAATCAATAGCATTAGTCATACATTTGTATGAGAAACTTTAAAATTCTTTTAGTTTGACTTGTTTATTAAGGTTATAAAACACTTTGCAGTGAAGCCAATAGCACAGTTAAACCCCTTCAAGGAACTACACCAAGATTTGATATGAAGTGAGGTATTCATCAAGGTTGCCCCCTAGGACCTCTATTATTCCTGTTAACATCTCAGATTGAGATGTTGATTAACCAAACTCAGTTCATAAGAATAAAGCTTAATGAATAAAAAATAAAAATTTTATAACTAGCTGATGACACCACTGTCTTTCTTAAAAATGCAAATGAAATCCCCAATGCTTTAGATATAATAAAAAGATTTTTAGGCCTGTTAGGTCTGAAATTAAATATGAATAAGTTTCAAATATTGGCTTTAAAGTTATGTGATCTATTTAAATTCCTGTAAACAATAAAATTAACTACTTTGGCATTAAGATTACTAAGAATTCACAAGAAATGAGTAACCTACACCACAGCAACCATGGAGAGTGAAGAAATAAAACAATCGTCTGAAACAAACAAAAAAAATTAATATGGGCATTACATTAATTTTATAGCATTTATTCTAGTACTTAATGGTAAAGGAGGAGAATTCTGTCTCTGTATGTCTGGTTTAGGTTTATCAATTAAATGAGAAAAACTGGTATGAAATAGAGCAGGTAAAGTACGATATATATGAATCCCTAAATACCTGAACCCAGTTGGAGCAAATTTAAATGGGATGACAGACTGATTAAATGAAAGTGCAAGTGAGTTCACTGGAAAAAACTCACTTATCCGTAAATTTACTTTGTAACCTGAGAACGAGCCAAACCTCTTTAAAAGCGACAGAAAAGCAGAAGAAGAGAACTCACTGGATCAGTCACCTACAGCAGTAGGTCATCTGCATACAATGATAATTTCATCTTAAAACCAGAATGGGAGATTCCATTTTTGTCACGTGGTACTAAACAGGGATGCCATTTGTCTCCTTTACTGGAGACAAATGGCATCCCTGTCTAGTCCCACATGACAAAAAGCAAATAAATGCAGGGGAAAAAAGGTCAATTTAAGAATTCAACATTTACAGTCAGAGGAGCATGATCTGAAATAACTATTGGATAATACTTAAAGGAGGTGGCTTTAGTAATTAGGGAACTCCACAAAAAATAATTAAGGTGGGAATAGGTTTGGTTCAGATGAAAGTAAAAAGAAAACTCCTTAGCACATGGGTTAAGAAGTCTCTTATGTGTCAATAATACCGTATTTGGACATAAAATCAGAAACTGACTGGAACATCAAGGAGCAGGGTAGTATACGGGAACCTGATCGATCTAAAGCCGGATCAGTGGTACAGATCAGATCTCCACCCGTTATCAGAACATGTGTATTTGAAGAGGGGAACCAAATAGCTTGTGTAGCAATTTTGGATCATCAAAGTTGGGAACATAAATATTTACCAACAACACTGGGGTGGTAACAGTACCTTGAACAATCAGATATCTATCATTCACGTCTGTGATAATGTTATCAGGGATGAACTGAATACCTATTTGAATTGAAATGGCTGCTCCCTTGTTTAAGAATTCAATGTTAAACGAAAAATGTCACTAACCCAAGATGTAATCTAAAATGATAACTATTTAAAAAAAAAAATAAAAACAAATAAAACAAAAAAACTATGTCAGTATTCAAATGTTTCAAATGAGCAAATATTTTTGAACGTTTAACCGGGAAGTTCAAACCTTTCACATTGTGGCTCAGCAATCTTACACAAGCTCCATTATCCGCATCTTGAAGATTTGGATCATTGGGATACTTATAGTATAAAAACCAAACTGACTGGGAAAAAACACACACGCGCCCTCTTGTTCAGCTCATTATGCACAGGATAGCAGGAGTAAATAATGGCAGATCCTGGAGTAAATGGAATGGAGCTGTTTCACTCCACTAAAGTCTGTTTATCTAGCCGTATTTATTGTAAAGACCTATAATTAAAGAATATTTTTTTTGATGTCCACGTTTGCTTTTCAATGCCTTAATCAGGAAAGGTGTACCTTTTTGCGTACACTAAAATACTCTTGAAAATTGTAGGATATTAGCCTTGATATTATGTGGTATCAGATCAAAAAGAAAGTTAGTGTTTTCTTTCAACAATAATCTGAATATGCATCTTTTTATAAAAGTTGACTAAAAGTTGTTGTCGCAAATAACAAAATAACAGACCACAGATTCCATGTGGTTATTCTGCAGTTACCGTATACCCATACTAAAAACTCCTAATGTAAGCAGTTTTTCTCTTTAGAGAAAAGGAATGCCGTTTTTTAAAAAAACGCCGCTATCGCTCTCTGTGGTAAACAAAGAAGTTTTAAACCCAACACCCTTCCCCCCCGACTGTCGTTAAAAGTTTAAAATATGAATACTGCTACATGCAGCCTACACTGCTGCACGTTGAACGGACATCATAACACTAACAATACGTCCCACGCAAACCAGCAAGCTTTGTCAAATGCGGTTACTAAACTAGTCTGTCTGCTTGGTGGTTTATTTTTTTACTTAAATACTTTTAACATTTCTGATGTCCACATTTACTTTTACTGCTTTAATCAGAAATGTGTCACGTTTATAAGAGCACTAAAAGACTCTTAAAAGTACTGGTATCGGAATACTAGCCTTGGTATCGAAAAGACAACCAGTGCTTTCGCCCATCCCTAATTCGCAAGAACCACTTTTAATTTTCCTCAGGCATTTCCTAGAACCCCTATTATGAAAATACAGTTACACCATTTAGGATTTAACCAATTAAAATAAACATCGAAGCCGCTAACTACCAATCAAATCGTTCTGCCTACCGGTCTGACGAATAGCGTCACGTTTCGCCGTTTCCTCTCCACCAGGACCCATCCGGTCCACACTTCGGCTACATTTGGGCCTGAGTCCCTCCTTCAACCTTCACTGCGGCCACCGTATCAGAGGGGCACCTTCAGCGAGCTCCGCGGCGCAACGGCAGCGGCTCCACCACTACCGCCCACTTATATTTATATACACTTATAGTTATCATGTCCTTTCTCAGTATCAGCAGGCTAGCCCCGAGGTTGCTTAGCTCAAAGGTAAGATACTTTATCTTATCCGATGGCCACCGAAAAGGCCAGCGAGCTGTAGAGTTCAGTGTCGGTTGAGCTGGTTAGCACGCTAAGGTTGGTCCGTAGTTCCTCTGAGACACTTTAAGGTCCCAGCACCAGCTAATAATGCTGTTGTTGTGTAACTAAAAAGGTTAGTAGTTTTCTATACGTATAACACAGTAGAAGAACACATTGTATGAGAGAATGTCCTGTTGAACCGCATATTCCACATAGCTATTGTTTCAGGGTTTCACGGTTAGCTGGGTACCGATTAGCTGCTACTGCTTGAGTGGGTGCGACTGTGTCGGGTGAGCTTACCGTGTTAGCCGCCGTGTTAATCTATTAAGTAACTAACCTAGCTAACAATTAATCAAGTTTTTTCCTTTCGTTATAGTGATGGGTTATTATCACGATCTATCGCCTTTGTGTCAGTGCGTATTCTTGCTCCTGGATAGGAGGGACAATTAGCTAGCTAGTTAGCCAGCTAGCAAGCTAACGGCATTAACGTATTCTTCAGTCCCCAGTCCTTTGATTTTGATCTCGGTAGCGAAGCGATTTATTAAATTCCTAATGAGGTAACGGGATGAGAGAGCCAGATGATTTACAAAACGTTAGCTGACCATGTAAATCTTGTGACAACTGTTGTTGCATGTAAGGTCTTTTGGGTCCTGGTTATATTCTTGCTGGCTTTGCTTTTGTGTCGTAAGCTAATATTTTCTGAGATTTCCGCAAGCGTAGTGCTAAGGACAGCTGAATCCTATCTCTGCCTTCTTGTTGCATGAGACCGAGAGGGTAGTAATACGCACCAAAACGTTTTATGTAACATATGGTCCTGACATTGCATTGTTTCATGGATATAAAGCCCATGCCATTCACTGAACTAGCTAAATGAGTTTTAGTCTACCTTACATTTATTCTGTGGCTAAGCTGTTTGGTACTGTCTTTCACTTAAGGCTTTCAAACAGCAGGGAAGGCACGTTACCATACTGTGCACACTGATATGTTCACTAGCTATGTGGACGTTATCTTTGTATCATGTGAGTAGTACTCATACCGGCATTTTTAGAATGTCAATGAACACCGAAAGTATTGCACATACACAAATTGGTGGAGGTATAAAAGAAAATGATAAAGTCTGCTGAAGCAATCCCTTTGTCACAGTAGTAAAGGGCACTTCTGACCTAAGGAGATCGTAGTTTATAACCACAGCTGATTTAGCCTGCTACTTGTCTGCATAGTTCAGTTAGACAAACAGCTGTTTCGCTGTCTGAATGACAGCACATTGAGTGACTGTGTCCTTATTGTCTCCTCTCTTAAATGAACTTTGTCTATTGTGATGGTTTACTGTGCCTTACGTCTCTGTGGTTTAAATCCTGTGTTTATTACACCTGTTATCTAAAATGTTGTCAAAGTTTACATGAAAATCCTGTTTTTCCTATCTATGCATGTTTCTCTTGGAGCCAATTTTTTCCCTAGTTATTTCTTTGCTGAAGAAATGCAAATGACTTATGTACTCTGACATGTATTACAGTGGTTGCAGACTTAAAATCTTTGATAGTCAAGCAGGATCTTTGTGGCTGAAATTTTGTTACATTTAGTTGCTGTTCTGTGTGCTATGCTGTCTTTTTTATATTCCATTTCACCTCTTGTTTTGACTTTTATAGGTTTTTATTATAGCCTATAAAAGCCAAAACAACCTGATATTGTATTATAGGCTGATTATTTTCTCCTGCTAGTACATTAAAAAAAAGTGCCACAAAAGTGCATCAGAGTACTCAACCTATGTTTTGTTGCAGTGGAGAAAGAGTGCTTGAAACCAAATGCTGACCATGACAACACTGAACCCCTTGAAACCCTGACTGGGTGACATTACTGCTCTGAAAGAGCCGTCATGGTGTTCTTTTTGACTTTGTATTAGATGATGGAACACAAGTTTGTATTATTTCCTCATAGGTTTGCTGCTTTTTGTTGTTTTGTATTAAGGAATGATGTCTTTGAGAGGAATGTCCTTCCAAGCACAGCTGACCTTTACAATGTGGGTGTCTAACTGTCCTGTGGTTTCCTGTGTTTTGCCACTGAATGCATTTTTTGTATAGTGTATTCCTGCTGAATCTGAGTTTCTCACTATTGCTGCATTGGTGATTTTCAGTTTGAATTCTTAAGTTTTCCTTTTTCCCTGCAAAACAAAGTATGTTCCCTCCACAAACTGCTCTGAAGTGTCCTAAGTCCTCAGAAGTCTATTTCTGGTTGTTCCTTCTGAACCTACTAATTGCCATCTCCCCTCCTTATAGCTCCACAGCAGCGTTGTGACCTCTGTAGGAATGTCCTTCTGTTTGGGCCACGACACCATCTTCCTGTGAATAGAGCAAGGTTTTAGCGGAAGTGAGTCAAAGGTCATTGAGAATGTAGGTGACACCTGCCAGCTGTCCATTATGTACAAGTCAGATGTGGGTTCAATTCTGATTTAGCCCCTTTTACTTTGGAATGTTTTTCAAGGTCTCTGTGTCTTGAAATATAAGGCTGCTGTGGCGAGACTTGGGTAATTCGCAGTCTCACTTGCCTTTTGATAGAGAAAGTAATATGGATTTGGTCTGTTCAGCAACAGAAAGACCAACTCTTTCTCTCTGGCTTGCTTTTTAGATGGTCTTGGGCAGTGATTTGGCTCCAGTGTGAAGTGTGGTATGGCACCGACAGACTACTTTTTATTTTCGGGTCTGTTCATGTTCAGCCTCCTGACTTGCCTGGTGGGTGCTGGGTAGTAGGTGTAGGGTTTCAGAACACTGACCTGTCACAGCCTCCACAGAAGTATTACTGGCCTGTGTTCAAGAACGTGGTACCCTGCCTGTCTTCACTCTTTCCAGTGCATGCCCCCTTTAATCACTTTTTGTGGTGTCTTTTTCTTGGGTGAGGTGGACAATGTTTGTGTTGTAGTATTGAAATTTATTTTTGTACAGTTCAGTAATGCTGTGCTGATGGTAAAGACTTGCAGTTAGACTGTAGTGCACCAATATCTTTTGTATTCTTTTGGGTTGATCACTACCAAGACCTAGGTTGTCACTGTTAATTGTCATTAATGTCCTAATGTTGTCAGTTGAAACACACATTATTTACCCTACAACAGGAGATGGTAAACTTTGCTCTCTCACTGCTAAATAGTTATCAGTTGGCAGTTTCTCCTTACCTGCATGGTGTTGTTCTGGGGTGATTTGTAATCTCAACTATTAGATTAAGAGATAACTGCCAGTGGTTTATGGGTAGGGGTTGGACATGAACTGTACAACTCTCCCTCCCCATAGGATTTCATAACCATGTTAGACAAATGATAGATTTCTAACACTGTGGAATTCAGTGTGATGTGCAATGTTTTTTGGTCAGGTCAAAACAAGTGTTATCCGTTTACTCAGAAGGGCGTTCATACATCTTGTGCTGTTTGCATGGTATGAGACAGTGAAACTTCTGTGTTGAACTGTTCTATTTGAAACAAAGTTCTGTTCAGATAAATTCATCACTGTTGGGACCATTGCTTGATTCTGCAAAGTGATTAACAATTCTGTTAGTATATTTGTATGCATGTGTATGTGGGAGCCACATCTCATGATTTAGCCTAGGTGCTTTGGGTATTATTTGAGTCATTATTTTAGCTGTGATTTGAACTGAGTAGATAAGAATTGATGTATAGTTTCTGTAAATGCAGTGTGTGCCCTTATGAGGTGCTTACTTGATTTGGCTACCTCAGTACTGTTCTTTCTCATTAGTTATGGTCTGTCTGGCTAATTTCATCTAGTAATGTGTTCTTTTCTGCTTTTGTTCTTGTACAGAATGCAGCATGTGTTGTGGCTGCCAGGAATGCCAGTGCGTCCACAGTAAGTATCTATAAGTAGCTTTATGCTAGCTGCACTACACTTAACTGCTTGGTTTTCTGAGCCATTTCTAATCACTTCCTTATAGATATCAGGGTGTATGTCAGTTTTGGAATGATAATTGTCTTTATTTTTCCATCATCTAATCTGGTTTCAACCTTTGTCCTTCCTCGTCATATGGCTTTACCAACAGTCTGCATGGGTGAAAGGTCATACCCCTATTGACAATTTGTATTTATTTATTTATTTATTTTTATTATTTTCTTTTTTTTTTTTCGGACCCTCAAACTCTCCCTCCTGTGGTTGTCATATTGGTTTTTACTCACTGAAATTACCGAACTCTGAAATTCTCAACAGGTTTTTGTTCCACAAGAACAATAAAAGCTCTGTGCCCTGACATTTTGACCTCTTGACCTTTTCAGAATTTGAAAGATGTGCTGGCAGATCTCATCCCCAAAGAACAGAGCAGGATCAAGAACTTCAAGCAGCAGTATGGCAAAACCACCATTGGCCAAATCACTGTGGATATGGTGAGAGGTTGTCTATTTAAATTGTGCAGTAATATTACTAAGAATTTGAGAGAGCATTAATATTTTCAATATTTTATTTTTAAATTTTATTTTATTAAAGTAGGAATTGATGTCAATCAATATACTGATAATATTACTTGAATTCCTGTGTCTAATATATTTGCATGACTAAAATGTTATAGTTTGCTTGTCTTCCCTCCCTCCAAGATGAGACTTCTGTGTTTTGTGACCCTTGCTTCACCAGCAGGCTTATACTGTAGGCTGTAGGGCAAAATTGTGTGGGCATCCCTGCTCTAGTTCTCTGATTGGCTAACTTGTCCTTTCAAGGACCTTAAGGTCATGGTGTGATATCACCTCATACATAGCTTCTGTTTAGCTGAGTCGTGTGTGTGTGTGTGTGTGTGTGTATGTGTATGTGTGTATATATATATATATATATATATATATATATATATACACACATATATATATATAATATTATACACATATATTGTTTGTGCTAAACAGGTTTATGGTGGAATGAGGGGCATGAAAGGACTGGTATATGAGACATCTGTACTTGACCCTGATGAGGTAAGTGCCATGTTGTAGGCTGATGAAACATTTACCTTTTTATGAAACATGGATTTATTTATTTTTTGGATCCATGGATCATCACAGCCAAGATTGATTCTCCCTGCTGAGATGTTGCACCAGAGCTACCTAACTTCATACTGGTACATATGGCCACATACTGAACTTATGCATTTGTTTACGCGTGGTCTCCAGGGCATCCGTTTCCGTGGCTACAGCATTCCTGAGTGTCAGCAGCTTTTGCCAAAGGCTGCAGGAGGTGAGGAACCGCTGCCTGAGGGACTCTTTTGGCTGCTGGTCACAGGCCAGGTGCCCACCGAGGAACAGGTGAGGAGGATACAGGATGTTGTCATGCAGGAGTTGATGTGATACAGGTTTATATAAACCTGAAATAGGGTGTAGAAGCAAGAAAGATACCCTTTAAAACAGTGTTCTTTTTCCATTGATCTGCTTGAAACTACTGTAATATTTAAATTTAGGGACTCAAAATTTGGAAATTTCTTTGACCGATATTGACCATAATCAGTGATTAACCATTAACAGGCCAGTTGTACAGCAGATAGTTCCAGTTCCAGTCCGCACGAAGCTATTGTATAGTATAAAATACTTGATGTACGCACACGTGTGAGTGCGTATATCAAATGAATGCTGTATAAATGCACCAAGATATTAATAAATGTTTAGACTGTGAAATAGTAGTTGTATTAGGTACAGTCTTGTCAAAAATGGTTCTATATGGTACGAAAAAAGGTTCTTTGGCTTGTAACAATAGTGTACCCTTTTTCAGTGCTACATAGAACCCTTTTCTAAAAAGGTTCTATATAGAACCACCTACAGCACATTCTCCATCAGTCTGAAGAACGATTTCAAGATGCAGCTAACCCTTTAATCATACAAAGGTTTTTTGAGTACATGGTTCTATATAGAACCATTTTCTTTACTAAAGAACCCCTGAAGAACCATGTTTGAGTGTAGGACTAGAGGATCAAATTGACAATACCCTACGTTAGAACCCGTTTTAGTTTAAACCAAGGGGCTGACAACTACATGGGCATGATTTATATGACCACGAACTAAAAGTCTGGAATATATAATGGCGGGCTACTGAAAGTTCTAGATTCAAAATTTCTAAAATTATATTTACCACTCATTACTAGCCCAAGTGAAAATTGGAACCATCCTTGGTTTACTGTACCTTAGTAGCTCTCAGAAGCTGTTGCCTTCCACCATGTCCTTCACTATAGTTTTGCACTAGAGATGAAACGATATTAAAATTTCATATCACGATTATCGTGACCAAAATTATCACGATTATCGGTATTATCGCAATATTGTTCAAATGTTTTGAAAAGTAAAATAAATAAAAAAATAAATACTGATACAAAAACTGAAACTCGTTTCACCAACTTTTATATTAACACAAATAGAATTGGCAGCAATATGCACTTTTTATTTGCATAAACATTAAAAATAAGGTCAATACATTTTTAGTATTACTTTTGTATTACTTAGTAAGTTATTACTAAGTAAGTAATGTAAACGAAAGAATAGCAAATGTAGTCTTCTTCTTCTTCTTCTTCTTCTTCTTCTTATTCTTCTTATTATTATTATTATTATTATTATTATTATTATTAATAATAATTACAATAACTATGGATTTCCCTGCATAGAGAATTAAATCTGGACCAACTCTGAGGTGCACTCGGGGGATTTCTGTCTGAATTGCAGCTGCAGCATTATTGTGCTGTTGTGGCGCTGAACCCCTAATCAACACAGTGCACCAGGAAAAACAGCCAAAATCACAGAAGAAATGCATGACCGCGCTGTGAGCTGCAGACAGTGTAGAACTCTCACAGCGTGTCTTCACCTGTGGAGCTGCTTCTCTAAAAGCATTTTAAAACTAAAACATAACTTAAAATTAACATGCATCTGAGCTGCGGCAGAAACACTCCTAAAGTTTAATCTCTGAAACTCTGCTTTTCCTAAAAGCGGCACACAGCGTTTACTCTCGCAAGGTCCTGTCTCAAAGCACACTATCTTCCCTATGTAGTGCACTTCGTGGATCATGAAATAGAAAATTCTTCACCCAAAGAGTGCAAGAAACGTTCGACTAAGTCATCTATAATCAACATTAACAACAGGTTACAAATTCCCTATTTAAAACTCAGCTGCTTGTTGATGATGATCGTATTTGAACAGTAGCGCACTATGTAGGGGACACTGAGTGATTTGAGACAGTTATTCTCCTCTCCGACAGTAAACGCTGCAAGCGAGACGAGAATGGGGAGCTGCGCAGATTGAACCTCTGCAGCGTCTCGTTCCAGAGCTTGTGTGACTCAGAGCTCATTTTGGAGACTCTGCTCCACAGAAACATGTTAAACGCTTTAGTTTCGATTCACAGTTGATTCACCGATTGTTTTATTTTGACGCTAAAAGCTTCATTTTATATGATTAACGAACCGTAAGCATAGGTTAAACCACACAATGTCACACCGTGACATTTCTTCTATTTCGAAGTCCTCACAGACTTCTACGTTAAAGTTAACCTTGCATTCTCTAAAAAGTAGCGGGTGGTGGTCGCGAAATGACTTGGTAAGGTTTGATGTATTGCCCCCTTTCGCCGCTATTTTCTTTCTGCATGTTCTGCAGACAGGGTGGTCATCTTCAATTAACTTTCCTTCTGCATTCTTATAAAACCCAAAATATGACCAAACGTCTGACTTGGTCTTCTTAGAAGGCTGAAATATCTCCGACTCTCCGAGTTTTCACACCGCGGTAATCGACCGCGGTTTTAACGATACTTTAAAGTTCAAACGGTACTACTAACCGTCATTGATTTTACCGCGGTTTACCGTGAAACCAGTAACCGTTTCATCTCTATTTTGCAGACAGTGTGTTATTAACTAACACTGATGGGCATGAGACTTTCTCTCAGAGAAAGGTACCTATTTTTTCATACCATCCTACCTTCTTGACATTTCAGCATGGTATTCGGTATATTATAGTATTTGTTGGGGGAGGGGAAGCATAAAAGTTGAGCTGCTGGTGATAGTCACTTATAACGCTGTTTCCATCTCATTTAATGTTATTTCAAAATTGAAAAAAGTAGTTTGGTTTACATGGTTACCAAATCAGTAAACACAGACACAGTACATAGTTTTCAAACCATCATTCAATGTTTGTTTGAACCATCTATCGAACATATAATAAACAGAGCTAAAAACTATGAGAGTGGTGCTGGTTTGCGTTAGCTTTGCTATCATGCTGACAGCTCTGCCCACCACGGAACATGTTTGATTCTGGACAACTAAAGCTCTGACACAAGTTTAAATAATTAAAAGTAATGATTAAAATCTGAGAGAATGGAGTTCAGAAGCCGCTGATAGGAAAGTAAGATAAAAATGAAGCTGTTCTGTGGTGTTTGGGTCTTAATGTTAGCTTAGCTAGCAGGCTACAGACCCAACAGTGGCACCTATCACAGTACAGGCTCTGTTGACAGGAATTTAGATGATTTAAAAATATCTGAGAGAGTACAAGTAGAGTAACACTAAGCCAAAATTGTGTTGTGTGGTGTGTGCAGAGAATGTGCGGCCCTGATAGCTCTCTGTAGCTCTCTGCTGTGGCTGAGCTGCTATCATGCTCAGTTCTTCTGAGGTATTTCATGGTTCTGATTTCCTGGTTCAGTTGTCTACAGTAGAAGTCATAAATTTGCATACACCTTTTAACTACATTCATTTAAACTCAGCTTTTTGCAATTCCTGACATTTAATCCTTGCACAGATTCCTTTTCTTACTTCAGTTAGGATTACTACTACATTTTAAGAATGTGAAACATCAGAATTATATTGTGATTTTATTTTAGATTTTTATTTTTTTGATTACATTCCCCGTGGCTGAGATGTTAACATACACATGGTTAGTATTTGGTAGCGTTGTCTCTAAATTGTTTAACTTGGGTCAGATGTTTCAGGTAGCCTTGCACAAGCTTCCCACGATACGTTGCTGGAATTTTGGCCCATTTGTCCTGATAGTTATGGTGTAACTGAGTCAGGTTTGTAGGCCTTGTGTAGGCTTGCACAGGCTTTTTCAGTTCTGCCCATAAATGTCTATAGGATTGAGGTCAGGGCTTTGTAGTGGCCTTGCCATCACCTTTACTTTGTTGTCCTTAAGCCATTTTGACGGAACTGTCGAAGTATGCTTGGGGTCATTGTCCATTTGGAAGACCCATTTGCGCCCAAGTTTTAACTTCCTGGCTGATGTCTTCATGTTGCTTCGATAGCTCCACACAATTTTCATAATGCCATCTAGTTTGCAAAGTGCTCCACTCCCTTCTGCAGCAAAGCATCCCCACAACATGTTGCTGCCACACCTATGCTTCACAGTTGATATGGTCTTCTTTGGCAAACTCACCCTGTTTCTTCCATACATAATAGTCATTAAGGCCAAACAGTTCCATTTTTGTTTCAACAGACCAGAGAACATTTCTCCAAAAAAGTAAGATTGTTGTCCCCATGTGCAGTTGCAAACTGTAAGCTGGCTTTTTTATGCTGATTTTGGAGCACTGACTTCTTCCTTGCTGAGCAGCTTTTCAGGTTATGTCGATACATGACACGTTTTACTGTGGATATAGATACTTTTGTACCCGTTTCCTCCACCATCTTTACAGGGTCATTTGCTGCTGTTCTTGTATTGATTTTGTATTTTTTGCACCAAAGTACATTCATCTCTATGCGACAGAATGCGTTTCCTTCCCTTTTTTTTGTTTTGTTTTGTTTTGTTTTGTTTAAGTACACCTCCAATTAACTCAAATGATGTCAATAAGTCCATCAGAAGCTGAAAAAGCCATGATATAATTTTCCGGAAATTTCCAAGCTATTTAAAGGCACAGTCTACTTGTTGTATGTGAACTTCTGACCCACTAGAATATTGATACAGTAAATTAAGTGATATAATCCGTTTGTAAACATTTGTTGGAAAAATTGCTTGTCATGTGCAAAGTAGTTATACTAAACAACTTGCTAAAACTATAGTTTGTTGACATGGAATGTGTGGAGGAGATAAATGAGTTTTAATGACTTTAGCCTAAGAGTATATAAACTTAAACTGTATTCTGCCCTCATTCATACATTTCAGAAATGTTCAATTTCCTGCATTCATACAATTTAGGAATGTTTCTAGACTTGCATAATAAACCTACTGATCCAAACAGGAACTGTTGTTTATCAGAAATTAAATAAAATATATATATTTTTTAATTGATATTAGTTGAACAATTATTTGTTGCTTAATGGCTAATTGGTTAATCGTACATCCCTGTTTATTTCAGAATAAACTCAGTCAGGTTGATGGCAAACATTTAAGTTCTGCTGGAATGACAGTAGTAATATGATTACTAGATGGCCACAAAAGGATGATTTTAGAGAAAACATCTAGAAAACACAATGGTCAAAATATAAAATTACACAATTGATGAATGTAAATTGGTCTAATGAAAAGGATTGAGCACGAGTACTAAGGTACCCTGTATATTGTTCAAGGTGCTGGTGTTTGAATAATGAAATCACTATTTGAGTATTCAATAGAGGAAATACACAGGCTAACAATTCAGTGAAATGCCAATGTTCTATTTTAGCAGAACTGTAATACGCAAAAGTTCTGCCCATATTTGCAAGTAAGTACTTAATACTTGGCTGATCTGAAACACAAGTGCATTAACATGGGTGTGTTGCCAAGGATGCGTTGTTAAGGACGTGAGAAGGCAGAGATGTCATGGCTTTATCACTAACTAGACTAACTAGGTTAGGTCCAGAAACATTGAAAATAAATTTATCTGACAGTCTAACATGTTGGCACATTGTCAAGTGAGAGGGGAAAAAAACAATACCTGTAGAAGATGACAAACATAAAGTGGTGTTCTCTAGTTCTTGTAGCTCAGTAGCTCATCTGAGGCAGCCTCTATTACTCATATGACGAAAACCTAACTCTTTCACTTGGCTACTTTTGAATCATAAAACATGTTTTGAAATGCATTCCTCTGCCTGTGCTGTCACATAAAAAGGTAAGCCATGGCTTTATTTTATTCTCAGGCACATAATAAGCTGCACAGACTCAAGCTATTTAATCATAACCTTTGCCTCCCAAGCTTTACCCCTTTTCTGTATTATTATTATTATTATTATTTTTTTTTTTGTATTTTATACTAATGGTAAAACCATATTCTCTGTTCATACTGCTCGTGTTATTGTCGACCAGAGGAGGATGGGTTTCCCTTTTGAGTCTTGGTTGCACTCAAGGTTTCTCAACTTGACATTCATGTTCAGTGAATAATGGAATTAACGTTTGTGAATTTTGTTGTGCCTAAATAAAAATGATCAACTCTGGCCTTTCATACCGTATGCATTAGAAGTTTTTATTCTCGTCAGTAAAAATGGTTGGTTGACCGGGCATTGGTGTAATGCAGTTACCCTCGTTTTTGCAAAGTGAAAATGTACACCTGTACTAAGAGTTGTGGGGGTTTGAAAAAAGGTTTCACAAACTAACCACTGTCCAAAAAACCTGCTTAATGGCATATTTGCTTCATGCACAGTCTTAGTGGCTAAACAGAATGTAAGCCCATTGAGGCCTTTTCTCTCCTGTCCTTATGTGACTCTGCAGGACTGGATTGCATCAGGGAGTGGTATCTCTGGAATTTAAATTATGTATGAATGGTGCCTGTCTAGAGTAAAACATCAATGTCAGTACTGTTATACAAAATGCATGACATTTTAGAGTTTTGAGTGGGTCTGTACTTTTAAATTTACACATTTCATAATAATCATTACACATCTGAAACATTAGAAAGTAACATACAAATGAGCCAGAAAATCTGAAGTCAGGTATGTTATTTATTTATGTATGTATGTATGGAAAAAAAAAGCAACATTAATAGTGTGATGAACAGTAGTGTAGTGTTAATAAACCTTTTGATGGCCCTAACCCTGCATCTTTATCTCCACAGGTGAACTGGTTGTCTAAGGAATGGGCAAAGCGGGCAGCTCTCCCCTCTCACGTGGTCACAATGCTGGATAACTTCCCCACTAACCTGCACCCCATGTCCCAGTTTAGCGCTGCCATCACTGCCCTGAACAGTGAAAGTAGCTTCGCCCGAGCCTACTCTGAGGGAGTCCACAAAAGCAAGTACTGGGAGGTAAGGCATTTGAGTTCACTTAATGCAGACTATAATAATGTGACATGTAAAACCTGATTTTTGAATTGAATAGACCAAGTTCCTAATAAAATTCTTTTTGGTTTAGTTTGTGTATGAGGACTCCATGGACTTGATTGCCAAGCTTCCCTGTGTGGCTGCTAAGATTTATCGCAATCTGTACCGTGAGGGCAGTAGCATTGGGGCAATCGACTCCAACCTGGATTGGTCCCACAATTTCACTAACATGTTGGGCTATAGTGACCCCCAGTTCACTGAGCTCATGAGGCTCTACCTCACTATCCACAGGTAACTTTTCAAGAGGTTCCTCGTAAACATTTATTGTTTTTAATGCTTAATGCTATTGTGAATATATTACTACACATAGTGATTTGGAGTGCACTATATTCAAATGCATCAGTGAATCAATAAGCTGACATAGGTAAAGATTGGCCTGCATTAGTTTGACCAAAATAACTAACTTTTTTGTTGGATTACACACACACACACACCTCAATTTGTTAACACTCACATAAACACTCACTGGAAACTGTGATCAGTCAAGATACTAATAGTTAATATGTATGAAGCTGTCTGAAAATGTCCTTTCCCTCTGTTAAAGGTTAAATATTTCAAATGTTACAGTTTAATAGTTTTTCCATCCATTGAAGGACATTTTATTGAACTACAGAATTGAGTGTTCCCTTTTTACTAATTTTCAGTGTTCATAACTTATTTTTGGGGTCAACTAGAATAGATTTACATGCTTCAGTGTTCCAAACGCAAATTTTTCCTCATACTGCACATCTCTATTCAGAGTTCTCTGGTGTGTACTTTCAGCTTTGTAACTCTGCAGACAGTTTACATGCACAAAAAGCTATATAATACACTAAAGGAAAAGGGAAAACTGGAAAAGCGTAATAGATCCCCTTTAACTGGCAAAGTTTCCTTCATAATGCTAATTGCTTGATAATTCTTTCCACCCTGATCACTTAGTTATTAAGTAGTCAGTTGACCTGTGGCACCTCTGGATAATTCTTGTTTTCTTAAATGTTCAAGGAATGATCTGTTTTCCTCTTAAACCACTTCTACCCTCTAGCTTTTGTAAATGGTTAGTAAGCCCTCAGTGTTTTTTAGTACATGAGATTTTGTCATGTTTTGAATGGGTAGCTAATGATTCAGTGGAAATAATGCATGATTTTGTGTTTTTTTTTGTGTTTTTTGCTCTGTTTCAGTGACCATGAGGGTGGCAATGTCAGTGCACACACCAGCCACCTTGTAGGCAGTGCGCTCTCTGACCCCTACCTCGCCTTCAGTGCGGCCATGAATGGCTTAGCTGGACCCTTGCATGGACTGGCTAACCAGGTAGAAGCCTGGCTAAAAACCCTGATGTTATGTTAATGTTATAAAGCTTGCACGTTAGTGTGTAGTAATTAAGAAGGGATCAGTCAGTCAAATGTTTTAATTATATTGTTGCTAGTATTTGGCTTTTTATTTTTTTTCCCCTTTCTTTTTTTTTTCTCCCCCTCATCAAGAATTCAATATTTGTAAACCTTTTGAGCTATTGATTCTTGTTTCCTACAGGAAGTGCTGGTGTGGCTGACAGCCTTGCAGAAGGAGCTGGGAGGTGAAGTGTCAGATGAAAAGATGAGAGATTACATTTGGAACACACTGAAATCTGGCAGGGTGAGAACACCGAGGCCACAGATGCATCCAAATTACATCTCTGCTGAATACCAGTACAACATCTTGCCTTGCCTTGTCTTGTCTTGTCTTGTCTTACCCCTTATGTGACACAGGTGGTGCCTGGCTATGGGCATGCTGTCCTGAGGAAGACAGACCCCCGCTACACATGCCAGCGTGAGTTTGCCCTCAAGCATCTTCCTAATGACCCCATGTTCAAGCTGGTGGCTCAGCTCTACAAGATTGTGCCCAACGTGCTGCTGGAGCAGGGCAAGGCCAAGAACCCCTGGCCCAATGTTGATGCACATAGTGGGGTGCTGCTTCAGGTGAGACACTGCCCACATGTCATATTGACCTCAAGTCTCATTTTGATGTCCAAGGGAGTTGTTTAGATTTTCTTTATAGTTATTTAGTCAGGTGGAAGTATTTATCTTTAGTATTATTATAGAGGAGTTGTTGTTGTTGTTGTTGTTGTTGTTGTTGTTGTTGAATAGATTTATAGGAACTTCTTATTTCTCACCATTCAAAAATGGCAGGATACATTTTAGTAATGATCATCTTTTAAATTATACATATTGCACTAGCATGCACATTTGCTAATGCTTGTGTGTGTGATGTTCTTTGTGCAGTACTATGGAATGACTGAGATGAACTACTACACAGTGCTGTTTGGCGTGTCCCGGGCCCTGGGTGTACTGGCTCAGTTGGTGTGGAGCAGAGCGCTGGGCTTCCCTCTGGAACGCCCCAAGTCCATGAGCACAGACGGACTTATGGCTCTAGTGGGGGCCAAGTCAGGCTAAAGAGACCAGGCCAGGCTACTGGATCGGAGGAGATGCTAAGATAACTATATTAGAAACAAGCCCCTGGGCCAAGAGATTCAAAGAGACAGTACACTTTTAAAATTTCACCTAAAAGAGAAAGGGCCTTTATTATTTAGGACCATTATTGTTGATTTTCATCTTGAATACCCAAAACATACTAAAACACATTCAATTCCACAATTCCTACAGAGACGAGAGAGAGGTAAAACCTAACATACATTTAGACACTTTCCAAATTTAAGTAAGTGATTGTTCTCACTGATCTCCTCTTATGTATCCCACATGAAAATTTATATTTTGTTTAATTTGGCATTTCTGTACAAACAGTGAGCTTTAGAGATGAACACACTCATGGTAGCATTAGTTATTTACTATTTAGACTTTCTTTAGGTTTGTGTATTAAAAAAAAAAAGCCTTTATTGGAATAAAGAGACATACACCCTGTTTTCCACAGCCTTAGTAGCAGTCAGTTTAAAATGTTGTTTTCCCCTTTCAAATCGACTTGTGTATGGAAATGAAAGAAAATGTGATTTTTCTCTTTGGAATCAACCAGACTTTTCTTAGCTGTTCAACCAGGCAACCCTCCTCCAATATCAGTATCACAATGTTTCTCCCTATAAGAACACTCCAGATCACAAAGGTCCTCCCAAATACAAGTCAGTTCATTGATGAACTGCCAATTCAGTTTAAAAACACATGCAGATCTGTTAAAAGGGTACTGCCCCTTTCAATTCTTGTACCACTTTCTGACTTCAATCAATCATGTCTTTTTAGATAAACCTCTGGATTCCCCCTTTTATATTGGAAATAACCTGGATTTTTATTTAATGTCAATCTCTTTCCCTCTTTTTTTGCCATTAGATGTTCTAGGAAAGTTGAATGCAGCATGAGTGTGATGGTACCAGTAGCTTTAAAGACTTTGATTGTAATGGTGAACTTTGGTTTGTACCATTCATTAACATTAGTATCAATGCCAAGAGCAAGCTGAAAATTCAGTCTGAGCAGCCAGTGCTTTCAGTGTTTGGGGCCTATGTTTTTTTTTTTTTGGAACATGCCCGTTAATACAAAAGCACTTCAGTGATCTGCTACTCCAAAATAAGCACTTGCTAGGTTGGAATCCTCAATTTTTAGGTTTAGGAAACCCCTGGTTTGATTTCAGTGTCTTTATATGTAGAGTTTTCTGGGTTCTTGTACAGTTCTTATACAAAAAATCGCTAATTTTGTGCATACATAATTTGTGATTTTATTTATGTTTTGTAAATATTTAGCTTGAATGTATGAGCTCTGCTTACTCTAATAATTTCACTAGATCAAGATGCGGGTGTCTTACATGTTCTCCTATTCACCTTTGAGCATGCCGTAACCACTCTTAAAACCTTCTTTATAAGGCTGTATCCTTTAATATCAGTTAAACACACAGATACTCCAGCTTCTTGTAAATAAAACTAAGAGTAGGATGGAGTTTGTCCATGGGGTCGGCACAGGCTGGTCCTGCTTTTTGTGCTTGCTCTCAGGTGGTTTGAACCTGTAGAAGCTCACTGTCAACTGACAGGTCCATAAACACTCCACATACTTAGATGACATGGGGACTTATTCCTCAACTGAATTTCCCTTTCTTTCTGGCTATTTATGATTCACAAGGTATTTTCACTCATCAGTGTTCAATGCAATTTTCCTGTAGCTCTATGTCTTTTTCTTTTTGTGTATGTGTGTGTGTGTGTGTGTGTGCGCGTGCTTGACTGTATACTGTCAGGTTATTTCAAATAACAAGGAACAAGAATGATCAGAGAGAACATGGATTGGTTGAAGTCAGGATGACTGCAGAAGGTAGAGGAACTGGTGAATGGGGTCAAATTGGTCGAATGGAAAAGAGACGCTTAGTTGAACAAAAATGGGAAAACTTGACAAAAAGCAAAACCAATAAATGTTTTTAACAAAATGTTTTTGGGGCCTTTTTTTCTTCAAACCCAACAATTATGCATGTACAATGCACTATAGTGAAGGCTGAATTTATACAGAAATACTTTCATTGAATGAAATTGGTGATATTTGGCTAATTTTGGTGATTATAGTCCCCCAACCAAAAATATCTAGTCATCCTGTGGGGAATGTTCTGTGACCACTGACGAAGGACTAGAGGATGACCAACACAAATTTTGCAGCAACAGATTGTCTCTGCCTTTACATCTACAAGGTGCACCAACTAGGTAGGAGTGTCTAATAGAGAGGCCATAGTTTTTAAAAACCCCAGCATCCACTCACTCCAGCGCAACACCTGCCCACATGCTGCCACCACCACATCAGGCTAAGAAAGTATGCAGAGAAACAGGTTGCAACAGACTACAGTCTGTAATCGTAGAACTGCAAAGTGTGCCTATATGGTGAGTGGAGCTGATAAAATGGACAAAGGTGGCCTCAATGACGTGGCTATATATAATTAAGGCAACAGTATGTTGTATGTATACATTTTTTGGGGAGGTAACAAGGTTGGTTAAATGGTTGGTAAACTTGTCCTGCCCAGTGTTGCATGCTGTTATTGTAAAGTTTCTGCTTGAATGGGAATCACCATCTACACTATGCTGCTGAGGCTATGGTGTCATCCACTACACCATGAGTTGAAAGTATGAAATATACCCCCCACAAGTAATTGTACATGCATCAGTGTGTGTGTGCAAGATAAAAAATAGGTTGTTAAATGATGTCTGCAATTCCAAAATCAGACCACTACTGGACCCCTACACTATAGGGGATCCACATCTCTGTAAACTAGTGCTTCTCGCTTTTGCACCACTTGACTCAAATTTGCATTGGTCTTTGTAATGAGGGACTTCTGGACTGCAACTCTTCTATAATATCCCTTTCAGTGGTAGTTGAGTGTTCTTGTTGGCACGGTCTGACTATGTTCTTCACTGACATTGTCCATCACTTGAGGAACAGTTGATCTTTGCTTTTCCTTACATATAAAGCACGAGCATCACAGTGAGTGAGGGTGCAGAATTTCCAACCCCATTTACTTAAACATTTTCCATAGATCTAAATGCAGATGTCAATTTAGTTACTGTTCCTGTCATCCATGTCTCAATAATGACCCTCTTTCAGAGTCACATAGATGTGGGCATGCTTTGCTGCTTCAGGGTCTGTGTGACTTACCATAATTTCAAACCTATGAATTCTGTTCTCAGCCAGAAAATGCAGCAGAAGGATATCTGGTCATCAGTTCATAATCTAAAGCTCAGGTGTGATTGTGTTATGCAGCAAGACAAAGATCCAAAGCACAAGAGGAAATCCATCTTTGATGGATGGTTCAAAAGAAATTAAATGAATGTTCTTAAGTGGCCTAGTCAAAGTCCTGACTTGAACCTCCTGGGCCAGGACTATAAACAGACAGTTTATGTTTGAAAGCCCTATATTGTGGAATTCTGTGGAAAGCAATTCTGGAAAAAGGAGCAGAAAAATTTCCTTCACAGTAATGTGAAAGACTGATCTCCAGTTATAAGAAGCATTTGGTTGCAGCTATTGCTCAAGGTGGCGCAAGTTATTAAGTTTAGGGGGCAAATACTTTTTCACATGGGTAGTATAGGGGTGACAAAACTGTCTTCCTTCAATAAATGAAATGATTTTTTGAAATTGTGTTTAATCACATTTCCTTGTTTTATATTACAATATACATTGGATCTGACATGGCTGTGTGACAAATGTGCAAAAACAGGAAATAAGGCACAGCACTGCATTTTTCAAAGCACTGTACATGCCACAGAGCACAGTAGTTATATTATTAAAACAGCCAAAGAACAAACAAAATTGGTTGTTCGGAAGTATTTTATAGGCAAACAGAAATCAGTAACTTAAAGTTATGAAATGTCAAATAACCGGGACATGAAACTAGTATCTGACAGTGTAGATTTTATGCCATTTCAAGTTTTCTTTCTTATATTCAAGATTTTGGAGTGCTCTTAATTCAGTGTATTCAACTCCACAGTGATTCATCACTGCAGCTGTACTGTATATAGCTGGACATGGCACCACAAATATTTTTTCAAATGAAGCCTTTATATATGTACCTACATGATGGATAAAAAGCATAGAGTAAGTTTAATGGTCATGGATAACTACTGTAAAATTGTGATTAATTTGAATGCACATTGGTTGTTCATTAGTTCAGCTTTAAAGTGTCTGAATTTGATGTTCAGTATAACATTAATAATAATACTGCACAGGTAAAAATACTGACTGATTGATCATTGTGATTTGCACACACACAGAAAGGAAGTTTTATCCAGTATGCCAAACACAAGATTCACTATCACTGTACATTTTTTACTGCTGCAAAAAAGAATAGCATGATATGCTAATTATTGGTAAGCCTAAATGTAGCACACAGAAATAGTACTTACATGCACATGCACACCGTGAGCCTTGTGATTGCAATTAGTTGCAATCAGAATTTGACCACATTCAAAAGGCTCATCTTGACCCTTGTTAAGCCCTGAGTTATTTTCATTTATGCATATAATTCAATAAAAGATGAATTAGAATGCTAATACTAAATAAGCCCAAATACAATTGTATTACTTACTATGCGACCAATGAATCAAACTTTACTTGCCTGTGTTTTCATTATAAATACCCTATTGCAGGCTGACTAAGATTAGATAGACTTATGTAATGTTATTTTCAGTAAGCTATTACGATTAATTTGGTAGTAAACAGCAGGTCTCTTAATATTTCATTACTCTGGGGCTAAATTAAACCAACGTAAAAGCATTTTAAAAACTGCACATGAAATCATCTCGTGCGAAACAAAGCAACAAAAGGTCACAAAAAGAATCTAAAACAGAAACTCAGAAGACACAATAGAGACTAGATCATGGTCCTCATTCATTTTGCAGTAGCTGTGTACAATTTTCCAAATGCTAACATTCAGAGTTATCACACCTATCATAAGTTGCCTTTCAGCAGAGTTCATTCTTTTCTATGTTGAGCTGTGAGTGTGCAATAGTCTAGAGAAGGAACTCAAAACTCTTGTGCTTCAAGAAAACAGAAAGAAGAGTTGCAGAGTAGAAGCACTCTCTGAGGTAGTGGGACGTGCTGTTCCATCATAGTGCAGTGAATAGTTACCTTTTTAGGTACCTTAAATGGATGATTGTGATAAATGTTTGGAGATGTAGAGGATGGTTTTGAAATTCTATTGAGAGTTCCAGATAAAATGCATCAAGGCACATCTGTGTGTCACATCTGACTGACCTCATGAAACATGAGCTCACGTGGGATACGCGTCTCAGGTCCGTAGAGTTTGTTCGCTCTGTGCTCAAACGCAGCTACCATCTGCTTTACTACCTCGTCAAAAAACACTGTTGCCAGCTGGGAGTGGAGCAGCGAGCGGAACTCGAACGATATCTGTAAGGAGGCAATTGTCAACAAGAACAGTGGGCAGCAAGAACAGACATAGATAAGAGATTACAAATGTGAAGTTGACAGCCCAGCAATGATTAAGATAAGAAGCATACTACTCACAGAGAAATCTACTGTGCAAGTACGGGGGTAACCAGGAATACCAGGACTGAAACGCCATATTGTTTCCAGGTGATTAAAGAGTTTGCCATCAGTATAAACTGCCTAATGTAGGGGGAAAAAATCAAATAGGTGCACATTCTTAAAAAAAGGTGACAAAAAGGGTTCTTTTGAACAATGCTATGGAAGAACCACATAAATAACCTATTCTTGTAAATTAGGTGCACAAAAATCTTTTTTTAAAAAAAAATTTTTTTTTTTTGATGCAAAGCACCTCATGGACCTTACTTGCTACTAACTCATACAGGCTGAAGACTCTCCACAAAGGGATGCTATTAGCTCTCTAAAAGCTTTTTGTACTACATAAGAGTGGTGCTTTGCATTAATGCTACCTATTTAGTGTGCCATGTTAGGTTTAAAGAACCTCTTCACAATGTAAAAGTTTCCCTACCGCTTACAAGCTTTTCTTAGAACTGTGCATCCAAGCTAGGACCAATGTAAGAACCTTTATTTTCCACGGAGTGAATATTGTGATTGTATTGTATTGTAGTTATAATGCAAAATAAGGCTGTCTCATCAAAAGAAAATGGCACTTACTTTGACAAGGTGAGGGCGGACATGGCTGATCATAGATGTGTATCGCTCATTTACAGGGGGGAAGCCCACCTCAAGCTCAGCTTTGGCATGACCAGACCTTCTCATGATGGTTTGGGACTTCTTGCACCATGGCACAAAGTATTTGTAGTCATCCACATTGGCTACGACATCATACATCTCTTGCATTGAATACCTAAAACAACATGATGAGTAATTAAAAGTTAACAACAGCACTGACTAGCAGAATTGCATGACAATAGTGAGACATCAACAAAGTTATTGTTAGAAATCCGAGAAATTACAATCATTTTCATACATATCCTGCCCGCTTGGGTTGCTTTGCAATATTCTTCAGGTCATTGTCCATCTACACTGTGAAGTGCCATCCAAAAAGTTTTGAAGCATTTGGCTGAATCTGAACACATAATACAGCACCTCAGAATTCATCATCAGTAAATACAAGGGAACAAGTTCCATTGGCAGCCATACATGCCCATAACAGAACTGTACAGGAATTCTTTCTTTTAGATATTTTTGGGCAAAAACTAATTTGGTCTTCCTGTTTTTGGAGTTTTAGACATCTTGTGGTAAACCCTCTGTATTTACTCTCCTGTTGATTGTTGACTCTGACACAGGTACAATGTTCTTGATCTGGCCAACTGTTGTGAAGCGATTTTTCTTCACCAAGGAAATAATTCTTCTGTCTTCCACCACTGTGGTTTTCGGTGGTCTACTGGGTCTTCTGGTGTTTCTAAGCTCACCACTGTGTCACTTCTTGTTAGGAATGAAGCAGGTAGTTGATTTGGCCTCAACAAATATTTCTGCTATCTCTGTGATGGGTTTTTTTTTATTTTTCAGCCTAACGATGGCTTGCTTCACTGACAGTGATAGCCCTTTGGACTTCAAACTGAAAATTAACACGTACAGATTCTGAATGCAAATGCCACACTTGAAATCAATTCTAGATCTCTCTTTTGCTTACTTGTAAAATAATGAAGGAATAACACACCTGGCCAAGAAACCGCTGAGCTGTCAATTGTGTAATTTAATTTTGAGTCCCTAAAAATGTGGACAACGTATGAAAATGGTTGTAATTTTTACACCGTTTACCTGATCTGAATGTACATACCCTCTAATTAAAGTCTGCGCTATACACTACTATCCATTACTTAAAAACTCCAATATGCTGTGAGAGAAAAACTCAAATATTAACTTTATCAACGTTTACATATTTATGGACCTTCCTGTAGATGAGTTTAAGCTCTCACAAGAGGCTTTGATTATTCTTCATTTTTTTAGGGCGGCACATATGCTTGCCTGCTTAGTATGATGATGCACTGAAATGCTTTTATGAATAGAGATTAACCTAGACTCACTTAGTCCAGGTAAACTACATGGTCAGTAGGAACTCTCACTTGAAAATACTGTTTAGTCTAGAACTTGATCAGGAAAGCATCTCATCAAGGTTTGATGAAAATGCCAGGGGTGTGAGATCAGGCCAACCCAATTATTCTAAATAAGATCTCATTTACTTTTCCTAAACATGGTTAAGTTCTATTATATCTATCAGTGTTAAACTTAATCAATTTGGAAAAATCTAAACTTATTCAAAATGGGCAAATCCAAGGATTGTTTCTCAGGAGCCAAACTTCAGAAATAGGAGACTATTAAGAAACAATTTTGATTTTCCAAATTTCATCAAAACATTGTCTCACAGATGGCAATCTTGTGTATGATCTGTGTATTATCTCCAATCTCGAACCTTAGCTGAGTAATATTTAAATAAGAAGAAAAATGTAAGATGTTGCTTTATTATGTAGCACTCACCTACATCTCAGACATATTTAGACAATCTGTCAGTGCAGATGGAGATGTGTGTACTTTCCTCATTTATATTTACAACTTCTTTCAACTAAATGTTTATGTTATGCTCCTCTTTTCATCTAAGCACCGTTTAGAAGAAAGAATTCAGAAATCGGTTTCTCCTTGTTTAATGTAATAATATGTAAACAAATTACGTTTAATTTTATTTGTCCAGACACAAAGAAAAATGAATTTCATAAAAGCCCAATTGTATTATAATAGAATTAGTTAATGACTGGCTTTATTCTGAAATACAACCCCTTCAACAATCCAAAACAGTATGGCTTTGCATCAGGATCAGCATCGGGTTTGCATTACTGTCTTACCCCATTATCCTCCTCTCTGAATATTCTTTCCTCTTATTACTGAGACTAATGAAGCTCCTCCTGTGATGAGTGGGAGTTAGCTCCACTTCTTGGAAGCAGAGCATTCTTGGAGTCCTAGTCATTAGGATTCCACATGAAGACAAGTGCCTGTGAGAAAAGAGTAAAACTGGTTGCATGGCGTGCTCTGTTGTAATATTTTCTGTGTCAACAGTAGAGTCAGCAGAAAAGAGACTTTGTAACATCACACCATCTCAGACCTTCTAAGGGTATGGTTTGGTGTTTCTTGCTTCAAAGCCTTGTCCTGCTGATACAAGCAGCAGGCATGCCACAAAAAGGAACGTTTCAGGTTTAAATATTGCAGGGGTTATTTGAATAACAACTGAACAGCGTCATCTGATTAATTAGCTAAAATTGCGCTATATTTATCACATACATTAATGTGTGTTGGACTCAGTGTTTTACTGTGTAAATTACTGAGTTGCCATTGAAAACACCTCATGGATACCAGCTGACTGTCCAGAGCCAATGGATATCTCGTCTTACCTGATGGGGCACCTTATCCGGTCTGTACATATCTCTGTGCTGCCAGAACGTCCAGGACGAAAAGTGGCAATTTCAAAAAACTCACTTAATGTCCGTACACCCATGGGCATACACCGGGTACCTCCGGCGAATGCCATTAATTGAAATGACTAAATTGGTATTCAGACGATTCTATGCAGGATTCCACTCACACAACTAAGTTATGTTCACACAATGAAAAAGTCACCCAGTCAACCTAGCTACAGCGCTAGATGACAGCCTAGCTGTATCCTCGTACGAGAATACTGATATACAGAGACCGGCTTATTCAGCGAATAATTTGACTAACCACTTCTATCCTTATCGGCAGCCAGTCGAGTAACGTCTAAACCTGGAAACGTAAATTTATAGAGTGATCTCAGCTCCGGCTCGTTCTCTCTTTATGTGTCACCACAGTCTAGGCTGCCACCAAGTGAACTGGAGGTCGAATTTGTCACCGGAAAAATCGTGAAAAATGTATTCTTTAAATGTTTTATACAACAGTTGGTGCAGTTCATTTTATTTTTTCTGTGAAAAGGGCAACATACATAAAAACGACACTCATCATATTATGGATGATTTCTGGAGACTGCCTTTTCGGACCACCTCCCTAGGGGGCGATGTTAGGCATACCTAGCCTCTCCATTTCTCACTTTTCAAAATAAAAGCTCCTGCCATCCCTCTTTATAATGAATAGTTCGTGAAAAGAAATGTTAAAGTTTAATATTTACTGGGAAATACTCAATCAAAAAACTTAATGGTGTTCTAATCTGTGTCTACATAAAACTGGCTGTATTTCATTATGTGGATGGACCCACTTATTGGATCCGATATATTATTATAATTACTATAATTATTTCGATAATCTTCTAATGTCCTAAATATTGTTGTCCAGTGCAAGAACGAGTGAAAATGTATCTTCATTCACTCGTTTCATCCCCGCAACCCCTGGCTACCATAGAGACGTAAGGTACTATAATATGTATCGATGGTTGAGCCACGGAATTATGGAATTTGTAGTTTTGAAAACTGCATCAAGAAGTTTTGTATCGAAACGCATGGACTACCCGCTGGCGAGGATCCCAAATGAAAGTAAATCCAATTAAGTTACAACTTTGCTTCGTTTTCGGTTTTGTCAGCGTCTCTACGTTTGAACACATTAATTTTATGCAACTTCATTAAAACCTGAAGGAAATTCGCTTTTTGGCGCTCAACGTTATGTCTTTCCGCATATTGTATGAACTGGTGAGTTTGCTGTCAGTGCGTTACCTGCTGGCTGGCCTAGGTAGTTAGCTGTTCAGCTAGCTGCCAAAACTTTACGAGACATAATTGAAAATAGTCCGAGTAATTTCTATGAATTTAAAGTTTAGAGTTAAATAAGGGTCATCAGATAGTTAACGTCAGTTTCGCGGTATCAGATCAGACACCCGAATTTGTTAATCACAATATTTTCATGTAGTTTAATATTTACAAGTGACAGTTTATCAAATTATGAAATAGTTTATGAAATAGAGAATAACTTGCAGAATATGGCTACTGATCTTTTCACTAGCAGACAACGATAAACCGTAATCAGAGATTGTGTAAAAACTTTTACAGTTATGTATATTTATATTGTATATGTGACACTGTTAAGCATACATTGATTCTTTAAAGATTGCAGCGTTTACTTATTTTCATTCTGCAACTAATCTGCTAGATTACTTGTTTTACTTAGGGATTAGTCCTGGACTACACAACATTCTGAATTACAACCCCATTTTTCAAAAAAGTTGGGACCCTGTGCAAAAAGCAAGTACAAACAGAATGCAATAATGTGCTAATTATTTAAACACTATTTAATTGAAAATAGTATAAAGACAATATTTCAAATGTTGAAACTGAAAAAATGTATATATATTTTTGTGCCCATTATGAATTTGATGCAAGCATCAAAAGTTGGGACAGGGCAACAAAAGACTGGTAAAGTTGTGTAATGCTAAGAAAAACACTTGGTGTAACATCTCACAACTAATTATGGTAATTGGCAACAGGTCAGTAACATGATTGTGTGTAAAAAGAGGATCCCAGAGAGGCTGAGTCTTTCAGAAGTAAAGATGGGAAGGAGTTCACCACTTTGTGTAAGACTGCTCGAGCAAATAGTGCTCAAGTATATTGTTTCTCAAAGTAAAATAGCAAAGAACTTGGTGATTCCATCATCCATGGTACATAATATTATAAGATTCAAAGAAATATATGTATGCAAAGGCCAAGGCCAAAAAACAGTACTGACTACTCTTCGGGCCTTTAGCAGCACTGCATTAAAAACATATGATTGTGTGGTGGGAATCACTGCATGAGCTCAGAAACACTTCCAAAAACTGTTGTCTGTGAACACAGTTTGTCGCTGCATCCACAAATGCAAGTTAAACTCTACCATACAAAGAAGAAACCATATATATACACAGGGCCCAGAAATATCATCTTGTTCTATGGGCCTGAGCTCATTTAAGTTGGATTGAGATGAAGTGGAAAAGTGTCCTGTGGTCTGAATAATCAAAATTTGAATTCTCTTTGGTAATAATGGATGCCCTGTCCTCCGGGCTAAAGAGGAGAGCGACCATCTGGCTTGTTATCAGTGCACAGTTCAAAAGCCAGCATTTGTGATGGTATGGGAGTGCATTAGTGTACATAGCATGGGTGATTTACACATCTGTGAAGGCACTATTAATGCTGAGCAATATATTATTACATAATCACCTAATTGCAATTATTTGAGATCACTCAATCAACCAACCTTTATTTAAACTTGAAGTACACTAAGGGTGACCCTTATTTACAGTGTAGCCGAGCCAATATAGAAATCAGGGATTGTAAAAACATATCAAATGCTAGAAAAAAGTAATAATAATAATCATAATAGTAAAATTAATAGTAAAAATCAATCAAATCAGAATAAACAATTGCAAAAATAAGATCACAATTATTTGAGAACAATTATTTAAACTGATTGCAATACTTCTCACAGTCTTTAGATTTTACAATCATATGTTGCAACAAACAAATGTGAATTGTGTGCATGGCAGCTATTACATTATTAAGTGATCTTTTTCTTTTTTTTTATCTAAGAGGCTTTAAGATGGATTCTGTACATTGCTATTGGAGTGGAGCAAGTGGTGAGCAGTCCTTTCCAAAACCCAGGCCCATAGCAAACACATTATCCAGACTGGCTGAGCTGATGGCTTGTGTGGAGCATAGACAAGAAGGACATTCTCCAAAGTCCCAACAGTCCCGTTTTTCCATCTGTAAAGATTGCGGTCAAGAATTCTCAGATCTCAACAGTTTGTCCTGCCACCAGCAGAGCGAGCATGCCCTGCAAAAGCCTCATCGCTGTCATCACTGTGGCCAGGAATTTGTTCTTGGGTCTACCTTGCAGCTGCACAGATGCCTAACCAACCACTCGGTGTGCAAAGTGTGTAGAGGGAGGCCGCAGCAGGGCTCCTCGCGCCCCTCATTTCTTGCTGAGGCCTCGGGCCCCCATTATCTAAAGGAGCAATCCCACCATTTGAACCAAAGACTTCACCATGACAGCAGTCCCTATGCCTGTGCCCCATGTGGAAAAGCGTTCAGCCATAAGCAGGAGCTTCTGTGCCACCAGCAGGCCGGGGGCTGCCAGCCAGCACCACTGAGCCCCAAGGCATTCGCGACTTCTCCGGCTTTGCTTGCCCTTTCTCCTGATGATGCACCCACGCCTTCCTATGCTTCCCTTCCAGCCTCACCTTCAGAGACCAAAGAGTACCCATTTACTTGTAGTAACTGCCTGAAAACATTCCGTACTGTGCAAGGCCTGGCTAGCCATCAGCGTCTTGTTCATACAAATAGTAAGACAAAGAAAAAGAAGACAACTGCGCTTAACCAAAAGTTGAAGTGTTCTTTGTTTCCATGCCGATCATGCGACAGGGTTTTCTCTCAGACCTCTACGCTGTACCTACATAGGAAAGAAGAGCACAGACGGAAGACTTCGAGGATGAGACAGCAGAGGAGCTATGCGAAGTGCACCCGGCAGAGGCAGAAAGGCGAGACGTACCCATGCTTGCACTGCGGAAAGGTATTCTTGCACCATCTCACTCGCTGGGCACATTTCAAGAGCTATAGCACCCACTATCAGACCCACCTTGCAAACAGTGGCAAAATGGACAAAGTTGGCAGGGCTGCCAAAGACCTCAAAACAGCCAAAGGCCTTAAACTTAAACATGCCTCAAAACCTTTGAAGGAGTCTAAACTTTTTAAGACTAACAAAAAAGTAAAGAAGCAGCACCTACCTTTGAGGACCAGAAGGCAGGAGTTTGCAGACAAGGAGGCTGCAGAGATACAAGATGAAGATGGAGAGTTCCCTTGCACATCATGTGAGGAGGTCTTCAAGACCCAGTCTTCCTTGCAAAAACATGAAGAGGTTCACCGGTCCTCATACAGCCCAAACCACTGCAGTGTGTGTACTGCTGGGATTGCTCTGCCTGCAGTTGTGGAGTCCCCTGTGAATAGAGTCTATCACTGTGTCCTTTGTAAAGAGATATTTGTAGACCTGGTTACTTTTCTGCAGCACTGTACAACACACCATTGTGGCAATGAAGATGAAAAGGATGGTGACCAGCTCAGTGATGATTGAGAGGATTCACAGATTAATGTCTGGCCAGAATAACATAGGAATTGTGTGTTGCATGTCTTCCTCCTTTGGCTTCTCCAAAGAGGTAGTTTTGCATATTTAGCAGCCTTTGTTGTCTGTGAGATTTGAGCTTTTACTGCACCTTGAAGAGCCTTCATAGGTACTGAAACAAGTTCAGTCGCCAATGATCTCTTACAAATGTAAGTGAAATAATGCTAAACAATGTTTCTAAGAAAGATTAATGTATGGTTATTTGCTGTGATTCATCAACACCGTTGAATGTTAAACTCTTTTGGTAAAACATACACTGTCAAATATCAATTTCTATATTTCTGTTAAAATACGTTCTCACTGTATAAGTTACAGACCATTGTTAAATACCAGCTATATATTTGTAGATTTATTCAAATGCTGAACCTAAATCCTGCTGTGTACACTGCTAAATTTCTCACAGTATATTGGTGTAGGACAGTTTGAATCTACTTTTTGCATTAACATCTTTTTAAGACTAAAATAAATTTTATTAGCTCGTTAGCAACTTTCTTGACGTGTTATTTTTGACACTGGAACAGAACAACTTTGTTGTTAGTACTTATGTAGACATGTACACATATAGACCACAAAGAAAGGTATGATTCAGAGTATTGTTCTGTTGCCTCAGTTGATTATCATATTTCCCTGAAAAAGATGTGCTTATTCATTTTCTGTGCAAGCTACCCAAGAGGCCACTGAAACTAGTCTGTTGTATCAGATAAAACCACTTGGTTTTTTTCAGACATGCCTTGAAATAACAAATGTTTCGTGAAAATGGGAGTTTAAGTAGTTCTGTGGCCCTTATAGCTAAACCAAAAGCACCTTTAGCTAGCACGTTTCACCCCTGTGCCTTATTATACTCACCTCAACTAGTGCCTTGTGGTAGCATGTGTGCTGGGCCTGCATATTCCTAAAGCAGCTGAGTTGGAGTGGGATTTTAATGTAGATCAGTACTGCTGTGACATTACTGTATTTTACATTCTCTCTCAACAACAGAAGTCAGAGACATACATATTGTCAAAGACTGTCTAAAGATGTTTTTGTTCATTCACAGACTCTCTCCAAATCTACTGCTATGTTTCAAGACACATGGAAATATTATGCAAGCGTTAAAGCCACTGTCATCGGTATGTGGGTTTGTGAAGATTTATGTTTGAGATTATCTCCATAGTATGATATAATCTCTTATTTGTTTAATTTTTGTTGGGAGATAAATACATGAATGGAACACAGTGTGCCTTTGTATGTTATTATACTACTAAATAATGATTAGTTAAAGTAAACTTGATTACAGGAATGTCCAAAATAGCTTTCTATTTTGAGTCAAAAGCTCCTGCAGCAAGTAAGATGAGCACTCTCTTTGAGCTTGGCTATTCTAGTGTCCTATACAAGTATACTGAGTTTTATTTAACATATATAATTCCTTACTTTTAGGCTACTATTTTGCTCATTTTAGAATAAAGGGGAGGACATGAAACTATAAAATAACACATGGAATTATGCTGCCATTAAAAAAATTAAAATAATCTTAAGATTCATTAAGTATAAAATAATCTTAAGAACCATTAAGATTCTTAAAAGTAGCATTAATGACATTGTTAAGCACTCTTAATATTCTCTCCAGCAACTTCATAAGGAGCCACTTGGAATGGTTTTCCAGCGGGCTTGAAGATGTTCCACATAGGCTGAGAACTTGTAGGTTGTTTAAAAAAAACAATTTTTTGTCATTGCAAAAAGAAACGAATGTAAAAATATGCATACCTAGGCATGACCTGCACTATTTATATTTGTTTAGGTAAGAATACTTGAAGAATTTATGTATAGGCCTGTAGATAAAAATGCTTTTAAGATTATAGAAACACAGGTGTGTCACAATTTATGTTAAATATCATAGGCTGTGTCTAAAACCATCCTATTTTAACCTATTATTTAATATGGTAGTATCCTGTTTTGGACGCTGCCTTAATCTGTTGTGTCGTAAAAATCTAACCATGGCTGCTTCCAAAACTGCGTACTACCGTACTAAATAACGTCAAAAAACTACACCACTAATCATAATGCATTCATTAGTGCAGTATGTATAGTATAAATAATGCATATGCATTATTTAGTTAGTGTTGCCACCTCAGCCCTGTAAAATACCTGGACATCCGATCAGTTTTTCCTAAATTCAGTGGTTTGGTAGATGCAATCCAAAGTAGATGTTAACTCAGCTACAAAACAGAATCTTCTCAGTGATAGCATTGCAATCATGGTGCCTAAACACCAAGAGCGCATCTTTCCAAAGCAACTGTCCATACGTTGCGGGTATCTAGCCGACTGTTTGTATAAAAGTGGTTTAAATGAAGTAGTTAAAACGTCATATAAAATACTAATGTATGTAATTGCCTAGAGTCCGAGATATTTTACATCCAGAAATTGAATCAGTATTTCCATGGACAGACAACCAAAAGCTAGGACGATCCAGGAAAATCCTGGATAGGCAGCAACGCAACTATAGTGTGTATCAGAGCTATGCAGCCTCTCTACATGGCTCTGGTGTGTATGGAATTGTAGCGTAGTGTTTTTGAACGCAGCCCATGAACTTCAATCTCCAGTACTGAAGGTGGTGATATAGCCCGCTGCCATATGCCGCGAAAAATCGTCACTTCCGGCTGGACACGCATGTTTCTAATTTTTTGAAACGGTTTTCATACGTTTTTCGTTGTCTCGGTCTGCACTGTTATAACTGAACAAACATGAGCAAAGCACATCCACCAGAGTTGAAGAAGTGAGTACTCGAAGTTGAGTTCTGCTTTGTACGACTCGCTAGATTTAGTTGTAGTTTTGAGCCGCCTTTCTCAAAATCTAGCGCGCGCTGTGTTAGCTCGTTTGCTAGCCGGTAGTTCTATCTAGGTTATGTGGAGAAGCTTACAGTCTAGTTAACCTAGCTTACGTCTAAAACGTTATTGTTGTCTTGCGAAAATGAGCTGAAACAAAGCAGTTTTATTTTTTCATGTCTTAAAATATAGGTTACCTTCTTATACATGTACGCTAGCTAACTTTAGCTGTTCAGACAATTGAGACAAAGAGCACAGCACAAAGTCTGTTAGAATATTTTATTGAAGTAAAATGTATTTGATAGTAATTAACTTGTTTTATTTTCTTTTTTAGGTTTATGGACAAGAAACTGTCACGTAAGTGTCATTTCAGTCACATATAAATGGATAATGGACAACAAAATCTCAAAGCACTCAATAGTTCAGTTTTTTTCTTGCTGAGATTCATCTAATAAGTTAGTTACCACATCCTTCTTAGTTTAAAGCAGTTGTGTCGGAACTTGTGTTGAGAAAATTAACACATTTCAGATTTATGGACATTTCCTTAACTGGATAGTTAATTATGTAGAATTGAGATCATATTAGCTGTTTTTGTCTCTGTGTAGGTTGTATTTGTTTAGATCTATGTACCTTATTAATGTATAATACAAACAATATTATTATAAAAATACAAATCAGGACCCCGGGTATGCCTTTCCCTGATATTGCACTTTTTGATTTGTTTAGTGGAAGCAAAATTAGCTTCATCTGTGTAGTTGAACAATGGAAAATTGTCAGTTTTTTGATTGCTGTCCACAACTGATGAGACTGCATCCATGGGCAGGAGTAGCAGAGAAATAATTGTGATTTTTTTTTTCCCCCATGATTTCTGCAGTCACACTAGCCACGTTTACATGCAGCCTAATAATCCGTTAATAAACCGACTAATAGCCCAATCGGAATACAATACATCAATGTAAATACCTATTGGAATAGACTAGTCTGATAGAGGCTATTCAGAATACAATTTCTGTCCGACTGAACGAGGTGAGTAATCCTGTAAATAATCCATTAAATAGAAGAATAATAGCCGTGTAAACGCCTGTATCTGATTACATTCCAAATCGGAAAGTTTAAGTATGTAATGCGCATGTGCGTTTGCGTCATAGCGAACGTTTATAACGTTCAACACGGTGGGAGCAGAAACTGGTCTGCAGAGGAAAGTTTATACTTTAAACTTTAAAAGACGGTGGCGGTGGGACGAGCGTCCAGCTTATGTGTCTCAAAACATGACGTCTTCCTCTCGCCCTTCTTTAATAAGTACACGTGAAGTATGTTTTCATGAGTCTGACATAACCTTAAAGCAATTAAAACTACAAGCGATGCTTACTGCTGCTCGTCTCACTCTGACTGGACTCACGTGATGCTCGTGGTAAGCGGCACACTATGCATGCACGTAATTTTGGATCGGTTTACATATAGTGTGCATGTAAATGGTGATTTTCATTAGATTGTTGAGTAGAGTGAGCATGTAATCACCTCAGTCTTAATTTATAATCGGAATGTATTCAATTGGATTGGCAAGAATCTTTTTATGTAAACATAGCCACTGATGAAAGTATTTACATTTTTTAGTCCTTTTTGTTGTTGGTAATGACTGGATTTTGTTGATTATTCTCAGTCCAAACGAAGGGCTGCTGTTGTCTCAGTACATTCACATCACATCCATATGTGCTTGTTGAAATTCTCGTTCCAAAACCATGGGCATTAATTAGGAAGTGGACCCCCTTTGCTGATATAACTACCTCCACTTTTCTAGGAAGGCTCTAGCAAGGTTGAGCAGAGATGTTAAACGGGGGTCAATGTCAGAGCTCTATGCAGGCCAGTTATTCCACATACAACTTGACAAACCCATCTTCTTATGCCCAAGCCCTTTGTCCTGACATCAGGCATGTCAAACTGGGGACGTTCCGGGCCAAAGTGCTGCAGAGATTAGTGTTTACCCTCCTCTAACGCTCTGAATTCAGTTCATGAAGACCTTGCTAAGTAGCTGATGAGCTGAATCAGGTGTGTTTAATGAGGCAGTGCACTGTTTTGGCCTGCAAGGACTGGATCCTGACACATGTCCTACACCATGTTTGCACTGTGCATTTGAGCCAATAATGTTCTGAAGTGTGATTGATAACTCCAGAGAAACGCTGCTCCAGAGTCCAATGACTATGTGCTATACACCACGCCAGCTGGCACTTGGCGTTGCGCATGGTGATTTTAGGCTTCTGTGTGGCTGCTTGGCTGCCGTGGTCACCATGAAAATCCACAAAAGACCCCAGTGTTCTTGTGCTGACGAAGCTGTCAGAATCTTGGTAATGAGTGTTGTAATTGAGTATGATTTTTAATTGCACTACGCTCTTCAGCTCTTGACGATTCTGTTCTGTGAGCTTGTGTGGCCTGCAGCTTTGCGACTGAACTTTTGATACTGTTAAGCATAGGCGTTCTGACTTATGAGTATCTGTACAAGTTAATGATAATCTGTTAACTGTGAGAAAAGGAAAATAAAAGCAGTAAAAAAAAAAGCAAAAGTGTGGTCCTGGTGTTGCACAAAAGGAATACATTACTTATGTAGCTAGGCATTTATGTGGAATGAGTAATGGAGGCTGCTTTAGATGAGCTTGACAGGTGCACTGACAAAGACTAGTTGTCCTCTACATGAGGTGTATTTCCTCAGTGGACCAACATGCTAGTTTGTCAGAGAGGTATCTTTACTGTTTCTGGAGCTAGCTAACATCAGCTAGATGAGTTAGCCTAGTTAATGAAAAAGCAGTGCCAGAACTGGCTGCGTTATCTCTGCTTTCTCAGTCATGTCCTTAACAATGAATCCTTGGCAACAAGCTTACATTCAGTTGCTTATAGTTTGGAGTAGCCAGTAAGTCTAATATACACTACATTGCCAAAAGTATTCACTCACCCATCCAAATCATTGAATTCAGGTGTTCCAATCACTTCCATGGCTACAGGTGTATAAAACTAAGCACCTAGGCATGCAGATTGCTTCTACAAACATTTGTGAAAGAATGGGTCGCTTTCAGGAGCTCAGTGAATTCCAGCGTGGTACCGTGATAGGATGCCACCTGTGCAAAAATCCAGTCATGAAATTTCCTTGCTACTAAATATTCCACCGTCAACTGTCAGTGGTATTCTAACAAACTGGAAGCGATTGGGAATGACAGCAACTCAGCCACAAAGTGGTAGGCCACGTAAAATGACAGAGCGGGGTCAGCGGATACATAGTGCGCAGAGGTCGCCAACTTTCTGCAGAGTCAATCGCTACAGACCTCCAAACGTCGTGTGGCCTTCAGATTAGCTCAAGAACAGTGCATAGAGAGCTTCATGGAATGGGTTTCCATGGCCAAGCAGCTGCATCCAAGCCTTACATCACCAAGAGCAATGCAAAGTGTCTAATGCAGTGGTATAAAGAATGCCAACTTTAGACTGGACTCTGACTGTCTGACTGCGAAGTGTAAAGTTTGGTGGAGGGGGGATTATGGTGTGGGGTTGTTTTTCAGGAGTGGGGCTCGGCCCCTTAGTTCCAGTGAAGGGAAGTCTTAATGCTTCAGCAGACCAAGAAATTTTGGACAATTTCATGCTCCCAACTTTGTGGGAACAGTTTGGGGATGGCCCCTTCCTGTTCCAACATGACTGCGCACCAGTGCACAAAGCAAGGTCCATAAAGACATGGATGAGCGAGTTTGGTGTGGAAGAACTTGACTGTCCTGCACAGAGTCCTGACCTCAACCCGATAGAACACCTTTGGGATGAATTAGAGCAGAGACTGCGAGCCAGGCCTTCTCATCCAACATCAGTGTCTGACCTCATAAATGCGCTTCTGGAAGAATGGTCAAAAATTCCCATAAACACACTCCTAAACCTTGTGAAAAGCCTTCCCAGCAGAGTTGAAGCTGTTATAGCTGCAAAGGGTGGGCCAACATAATATTAAACCCTATGGATTAAGAATGGGATGTCACTCAAGTTCATATGCGTGTGAAGGCAGACAAGCAAATACTTTTAGAAATATTGTGTGTGTGTGTGTATGTGTGTATATATATATATATATATATATATATATATATATATATAATATAATATACACACACACAAAACCACAACTGGATGAGTGAGAATCTGACTGGCTCCCTCTGCATTAAAAACCAGGTTAGATCAGGAGTCACAACACAAATGTTAAGAAGAGCCATTTTGTCCTTTCAACAAAAATCAGACCACCGTGGGAGCCACAACATTTATGTCCAGTATGTCTCAGTATGTGCCAATGTCCTAGTATAGACTAAAAAATATAAACGAAAACGCAGACTTACTTTGCTCTGCTTTACGCTTCAGCTATAGCCGCTTTCCTCCCATCTCCGCCAGAAAACTTTTCCTCGAAAGTTGAATAGTTTCTTGTAAAATGTCTCTCAGCGTTCGACTGTTTTACGAGGCTAAAGTCGCTTCTCACTCGCCAGCTTCTTGATGAACTTTCCCGTTCCACCTTAAATTCTGACTGAGGCGCCGAATGTAAAAGCGGCACCATTTAAAGTGGAACGGGAAAATTAGAAAGAGAAGCGACTTTATCTTCGCAACTTTTTAGTTAGTGTTTGACAGTCTCTCCTTGCAGATTTATCGTACCAGGAAACCAACTGCGCTGCTTATAAATGCAAATAAGTCCGTTCATCTTCAGATGTTCGTCTGTCTTTCTCTTTCTTTTTTGTTTGCTACTAGCCAGGCGAAACCTCGTTGCTACGTGACCTGCAGTCTCATTTTATAATCACATCGCAGCCCTCTGAATCGTAATCGAATGGGATTGTGAGGTGCCTAGAGATTCCCACCCCTAATGTGTATATATACATACATACACTCCGTTCAGGCATAACATTATGACCACCTCCTTGTTCCTACGCTCATTGTCCATTTTATCAGCTCCACTTACTATATAGGTGCACTTTGTAGTTGTACAATTACAGACTGTAGTCCATCTGTTTCTCTGCATACTTTGTTAGCCCCCTTTTACCCTGTTCTTCAGTGATCAGGACCCCCATGGACCCTCACAGAGCAGGTACTATTTGGGTGCTATTTGGTGGATCATTCTCAGCACTGCAGTAACACTGACTTGGTGGTGGTGTGTTAGTGTGTGTTGTGCTGGCACGAGTGGACCAGACACAGCAGTGTTGCTGGAGTTTTTAAACACTATGTCCACTCGCTGTCCACTCTATTAGACACTCCTACCTTGTCAGTCCACCTTGTAGATGTAAAGTCAGAGACGATAGCTCATCTGCTGCTGCACAGTTTGTGTTGGTCATCCTCTAGTCCTTCATCAGTGGTCACAGGACGCTGCCCACAGGACGCTGTTGGCTGGATATATTTGGTTAATGGACTGTTCTCAGTCCAGCAGTGACACTGAGGTGTTTAAAAACTCCAGCAGCACTGCTGTGTCTGATCCACTCAGACCAGCGCAACACACACTAACACACCACCACCATCACATCAGTGTTACTACAGTGCTGAGAATGATCCACCACCCAAATAGTACATGCTCTGTGAGGGTCCATAGGGGTCCTGACCACTGAAGAACAGGGTAAAAGGGGGCTGATAAAATGGACAGTGAGCATAGAAACAAGGAGGTGGTCATAATGTTATGCCTGATCTCTATGTGTGTGTGTGTGTGTATGTGTATGTGTGTATATATATATATATATATATATATATACACACACACACACAGAGGCTGACACACAATTGCAATTTTAGACATGCAAAAGTGGGGGCTCCCGTCTAAGTGTTGACCCTATCATCAGGAGATCGCAAGTTCGATTACTCATTTTACTACATTATCATTTCAAGTTCAGTTTGCTTGTGTACATGGCACGGTTTTATGTACATTTCTGACTATATACTTAAGTAGTTAAATTGTGGTTTTGTAATGATTAATCAGTGAATATCATTCATACTAAACATACTACTATTTTCAACTAAGTATAATTTATAATAAGGGAAATGTTTTTAATTTGACTTTTCTCCCCTCTTTTTCTGTTTAGTAAAGCTGAATGGTGGTCGACATGTCCAAGGCATCTTGCGAGGATTTGATCCATTCATGAATCTCGTGGTGGATGACTGCTTAGAAATGTCCCCAGGGGGACAACAGAATGCCATTGGCATGGTGGTCAGTTACCTCTGTCTATACTGTTAAAACTATCCAGAATTTTTATAGGATTTGAATCATAACTGTATATGCACTTCTAAAGTGCAGCTTAAGTGTTTTCAATGCAGTTAGACAAAAATATGATTAATGAACATAATGCACACATCTTGGTTCATGTAACAGCTTTGTATATTTATGTTCTGCTTAAAACTGTGAACTCTTAAAAGGCCTCTGAGGTCATTCTTTTAGTCTATGACATAAGTACTCTGAGTTGAATTTTTTTTTTGTTTTTTTGGTAAACAACCATTCCTCTTCATTTTCAGGTCATCAGAGGTAACAGTATAATCATGCTGGAGGCTCTTGAGAGAGTATGAGGATGGATCCCCCCTTGTCTCCCCTAATCTACACCTCCTTCCCTGATGCAAGATGGCTTTAGTTTTGTTATTAAAGAATGGAAAACTTCTGAAAACCCTGCTATGTATGAGTGATAAGGTGCTGTTTTTAGGCACCTTAATTGATCAGTCTTAGTTTCTGCCTTTTTTATGGTGATAACTTTAGAAATGTGTGTACCACTCAACCCATTTGTCAATAAATTGAAGGTGAATTTTGATCATTTTGATCATTTTTTTTTTAAGGGTATTGATTATAATTTTTACATTTCCATCCACATGATTGTTTTATTTTAAAAAGAAGGATTAAATGATGTAGGCTGATAGATGTTTTTCTGTGATTTCAGCATTCCTACTAATCTATGTATGCATTGATTGATTGTTTGATCCTGTACCATCAGTTTCTCTAAGCATATAAGTATTTACCTCAGATCTCGATAATGATGGATTGCATTAATTTGGCCTTGTTTTTATCAGGCTTCCTGCAGATCCCCATAAAGTTTTAAAATAGATTTAACAACATTCAGGTCATAATGTTTGAAAATGTGTAAGGATGGCTTTACATGGTCAAACTTGCATGCAACCTCAATGTAAAGCATCTTGAAACTTAGCTGCAGCAGTTTCAAGCAGCTCACTTTTGTAACACCTAAAACAGCCAATCAAACTGCCAGTAACATATCCTGTGATCATGTTGAACATGTTTTTTAAATGAATTATTTCACTGGATCGATGAACAGGAAAAGAGCAGTTACCAATTGTGCAGATATTTTCAGAAAAATAAGAAAGACAGTTGTCAATAAATTAGAAAGTAGTTAAGTATTTAAATGGGTAATAAAAAGTACTCTGTTAATTATTATATTCATTACATTAAATTCATAAAATACTAGAACATAGTGTTTATTTCCCCTTTTTTGGATGTTTAAAATTTAGGGTAATGTGTGTTGGAATAAAATATTCATGGTAGTCTGGTTTTATTAAGGGGCTCATACCATGTGAAACAATTTTTATTTATTTATTTTTTTTACAGCTAAGCTGCCTGTCAATGCAGAAGTTATAAGGAGTGTTTCAGCCTGGACTGCTTTTTAGAACAGAGGTCATTTAAGTATATGAGTCTTGGAGACAGAAACTAAACAGCCTGTTTTATGGATAAAGTTTGAAAATGGTTATGTAGAAATTATTTATGAATTAATGGTAAATTTATCGTGTGTGGTTTATGTTTTTGGTACATAAGCCATGCCAACATCAAAAGTGGAATACAAGAAAAACGTAGGATATGGAGCCTTTGCTGTTCGTGTTCAGCCACACCGGTAAGACTGAAAAGATATCCTGTGCTGCAGGGCTACCCCAAGTGTGGCCTGTGAGGATGTTTGATTTGGCCCACCAGAAAATTACCCCCACCCCCATTCAGTGAGAGAACAAAAAAAAAATACTGTATACAATATTACTAATTCAATTTTTGGATCAGTTAAAAAATACCCAGTAGTGTTATGAAGTACTTTCTTGAAAACTCAATTTGATATTTAGCTGCCTTCTTGACATTGTTTTTGGCTTTCGGACCATTCTAGACATTGCATTTAGACTTTGGCCTTCCAAGGAAAAAAGTATAGGCACCTCTGCTGTGCATAACGAAGACTTTTACTTTGACAGCAAGGGCACCGGATATTTCATATTTACGATGGACTTCGTCGGCCCATTGCTGTGATTGGACACTCCACATGTACCGATGCTATGTGGAAAGTAGTGATGTCGGAGGAGGTTGGGAAGAAAGTGCAAGCGGTGGTGGACCGGGTGAACCAGGCGGTTACCCGACGCCCCAAGGTTAGTTTTATAGTGATATAGCCAGCACAGAGGGTAAAAACACGTCGTTTGAAGCACTTTATGAACGTGCTTCCTTATGCCTTCATGCCGTTGGTTTCTTTGGTCGGTTATATAAGCAGCGCTCAACCTTTGCACCCGTTCGTGCTGAAGAGAATGGGCCGAATGTAGTGCAGTGAATCATATACCTGATGTGACACCGTTCAGTTATCAGCAGGGCCTTAAACGTTTAACGATTTAATGTTAGACAACACGTTAGCCGAACATTACATCGAGCTTTTTTCTCAGTATTCAACTTTGTGGAGCTCTCCAGCTGAGGCGTAACTAGCCCTGCCTGCTGAGTGGAAATAAACAGCACGACTGAATGTCACACCGTCTAGTTGAATTTGTTTACATTTCCAACATTAAAAGGGTCCAAAAATTGTCGCACTACAGCTGGTTAATTTAGATCATAGAAACCACACACGTACGTACTACTGAATTTTGCTTTTCATATTTTTCAGACATTACCATGTGTGGCACCTCGATTAGTTGCTGTTAGTAAAACCAAACCGCCAGACATGGTGCTAGAAGCTTACAAACATGGACAGCGCAACTTTGGAGAGAACTATGTAAGTAAAGTTAGATCTGAGCATTTACCATTAACGAGCCCTATCGTCTGTCTGCCATATTAAGATGCGTGTTGGTCATCCTTGCAGGTAAATGAACTTGTGGAGAAAGCGTCTCACCCCCTGGTACGTAGTCCAGACCTATGCATAATGTAGTAGCCAGTCAAGCTTATGTGTCGTTTTTAACATTTTACTGATGTACTGTCTTTTTTGTGTTAGATTTTATCATCATGCAGTGAAATTAAATGGCATTTCATTGGACATCTACAGAAGAATAATGTAAATAAACTCCTGGGTAAGCAAGTCAGCTTGTAGTGGCATACACAGACTTAACTCAAATGTTCTCACAATCGATCACACAGTCTAGAGATTCTGTGGTAATTGATAATCGTTTCTTGTGATTGTTGAAACTTTCCTTTTATTAATTGACTCGCAGGTGTTCCAAACCTCTATATGGTAGAGACAATCGACTCAGTGAAACTGGCTGACAAAGTCAACAGCTCCTGGCAGAAGTTACGAGGATCTAACACGCAGAGGTTAAAGATCATGGTTCAGATCAACACCAGTGGAGAGGAAAGTGTGTGTCTCCTTTTCAAACAGTGTGTTGTGCTCTACTAGTATTCACCTGCGTTAATCTTATCTAATTCAGTTGGTTAAAATGTGTTGAGGCCCTGATAAAATCACATATGACAGCTAGGAGTGGACGACATGACCATATTATTTTTAGGATAAATTAGTCAAGGTAAGGTTTTCTGAGCTAATCGTGGGTATTTAACTTAACAAACACTAAAATTAATACCAATTGCATGTTCTTTAAAATTTAAATTTCTGCATGGGGTAGCTATATAAGGCTTTGCTTTATTGTTGAGCGATTGTGAGTTTGATTGTAGTTCTGTGGAGTATATGCAACGTTAAAAAATTGTCCTCATAGATTCACATAACATTTTTTTAAAAAGTGTGGGGGGAAAAATAGTGACGTGCATATTGTGTGTCATGAAAATGTCTGTCATACTTCTGCTAAATATTAGGATTCTATGTAATATGTTAATATACAGAATTAACCTGTTTCACTGTCATAATTCAACAGAATTCCACAAATTTAATATTATACAGTATCAGTCTGTTAAAGTACAGTGACAACTTGAACTTTTGGGTGTGCTCTATTAGGTAAACATGGCCTGCCTCCTGATGAAACTATAAACACAGTCAAGCACATTGTATCCCACTGTACTGCCCTGGACTTCGCTGGACTCATGACTATTGGCCGTTATGGCTATGACCTGAGTGAAGGCCCCAACCCAGACTTCCAGGTATATTTAAACTGCAGAATTGGCTGCCAATTGCCAATTTGCATTTCACTACTTAAATCATGTCATTTTAAAATTAAATTGACCAGCTGGACATAAAGCTCACAGACAGATAGGCTTCAATAATGTTCAGAAACAAGTTTTCAGTATACATTTTTATTGAAGGACATCCAAAATGCAACATATAAAGCATAAAAAAGTTACTTAAATGTCATCGAACAAGCTTTAAATGTCAGTGTTTAAGCAATAGAGCTGCTACACAATGGGAATGTACACCACTGTTGGCTTTGTGCTCACATTACATTGAAAACTCCATTAGGGATGACTTTTTAAGCACCATGTGCACCGGGTCTCGTGTTTAAAATGAAACAGGATGTGCTTCTTAGGGAGCAATTTGAGAGAATGCAAAAGACAGAGATGAGTGATAAACATTTAAAAACTGAGTTGAAAACTTACGTTCAGTTTGTGGTAATATTTATGCTGAGTGTTCTGTACCGCTCTAAGTGTTCGAATACAGGCAAGACCAGTTTTTCCTCCAGTGACTAGTGACTAAAGAAGATTCATTTTTGATACTGACTGGATAGCTATGATCACATATAGTGCTTTTTCATGGACCTCACTGGAAACGTTGGCTTTTTAAAACAATCACACTATTTGAAACCATGAAGCAGGCTAGAGGAGTTTTTTTCAGTCACAGTGTGCATTGCTTTGTAAACAACAGTGAAAAGAAGCACACTTTAAAGAATTTTAAAAGCTATCATCTGAATGTTTAAAGTATTTGTGGAAATTAGCATTATCTTTGCAGTGGAAAATGTTTAAACAAAAGGTTCTTTCAAAGTGAATTAGAAGGCTTCTGCATTAAACATTGCTATTTAATGTCAGGCATGGCTGGCACAGGCTTATGATTTATTATTTTATGACTGACATCATATGACTGACAGGTTGCCAGTCTAATGATGTCAGTGTGATTGAATGTCCAGCAGTTTTAGCTTGCATGTAGCATTGTTCATATTTTGACTCTTTTTAACAACCTCATAATTCTGATATTTGGGGTGAAAAATGTAGACAAAACGTATGAGGTATGGTACATTTTTGTTACTATGTTATGATGCGAGAAAAACGATTTTTCCTGTTTTTCCCCAGCTTAGACGTAGTTCCTAATATGGGCATGAAGCCAACTTCAGAATGATGACAGATTCGGTCTACAGCAATAGCAAGTGAACAAATTACATTGTATGTTTTTTTTGTTATTCATTTAAGTTAATTTTTGTATAAGGGGAATTACCCATAAGATCCTAGCTATGCTACTGGCATGTATTAGGATGATATTGGTCCAGATTCATAAAATGCACTGCCAGATTTACCATTACCTAAAGAGTAAATAATGTGGCAGGAACACGTTTGTTTGTTCATACACAGTTACCTTTTAACTGCTGTTGGAGTAGAGCTTGAGTAGGATTTCAGATTAGCAAATTTCACTAGCACTGTTCTTAAAACTGCCTTTTCTTACTGTCAGATTCCAGGTTTAACAAATCCTCCTCCTGTGTATGGAAAGTAGGTTAAGTTTGTCATCCAAATAAGTGAAGAGTAGTTTGACATTCTAACTACATGTTTGAATTAATTTTATTGCAAGCAGTTTTAGATTTTAGTGCTATTTTTTAATTTACAAGAGATTTTACAAAGGTATTCAATTTACACGTGAGAATCATGTTAATAGTGCAAATTCATTTCTTACAAGTAAAAACTAATTTTTCACTAGTAGAAGTTTATTATTTACTAGAAGAATTTTAATTTTCACATGTGCAAATTGAATTCCTGACATTAAGAATTAAATATTTACTAGTTACAGTGCTTGCAAAGCAAAGCACTGCATTGTTATCCCTTGGCTGCTGCTGCTTCTTCTTCTTTCCAGGATCAATAGCTCAAGAACCACTTAACGTAGAACCTTCGTTCAAACTCCGTTGCATAGGTCTTGTACATGGCACGGTGGCTATCTATCTATCTATCTATATATTTATGTTCTACAACTTTATCTATTCATCTATATTTTCCTCTGCAACTCTCTATCTATCTATCTATGTATGACTTTGTCTGTCTATCCATCCCTCTACAAATCTCTAAAATAGAAAGTTGAATTTTAATATTACTTTATCATTTCTAGTATCATCAATTTCTGTTAAAGGAAACTTTGTTTTATTACACGTTGAAGTACTTTTGTCAAATAATTTACTATTGTTTGCCCGCACGTCCTCCCTTAAAATTCATAGCTCTAATCCTGAGAATTTTAGTTTAGTTTTTTTGTTGTTGTTGTTTCTTTCATCTTATCCATTTTCGCAGCCTAGTTTGAGCTTCACTTGGTGTGGGTCTTTAATATGTATGACCTCATTTACATGCTAAGGACACATGCAAAAATACCGCAGCTTTTAAAAGACACCAGTGTGCTAATCACTGCCACGGTAACTTTATAAATAGCTTTTACCGTGTCATGCATTTTGCGTGGCATGGCACCTTTACTGAGTTTTATGGCCCAACGTCACTTGTTTTGATGAGTAGTAAAAGATATTCAACATTTCCATGTATTCTTCTGCCCTAAATATAGCTGTTTCACAAATGTGTAGATGCTGCTGAAGTGTCGGGAGCAGGTGTGTGACAGTCTGAAGCTCTCAGTGGAACAGGTTGAGCTCAGTATGGGCATGTCCACAGACTTTGAGCATGCGGTGAGTTTAACACTCCCTTTCCACTCTTGTTCTTATGTTCTTGTAGAAATTTGTGTGCGTCTGCCTGTTCTGTGTGGTCAGTATCACTGGGTTGAGCAAAGTGAGTCTAAATCTTTCATGTTGGCTGTGTAAACTGTAACTCTTCAATTCAGTCTGTCCCAGCATGGTGTGAAAGACACCTGTACTCTGAACGTTGAGTACAACCAATTCTTTATTCTATATTTCTTCCATCAGATTGAAGTAGGCTCCACTAATGTCCGTGTCGGTAGCACTATTTTCGGAACACGGGAATATCCAACCACTCCCAGCCCAAGCCCAGAAAGAAGGCCAAAGGTTGTATCTGAAGAAGCAGCGAAAAAGATGGAACGTCTTACTGTGACAGAGCATTAAATGTCAAAAAGAGATACACAACTGGATCTGCACAGTTGAAGAGGACCGGTTGCGCATTTTACAAATGTTACTGGAACACCCAAATCGGAAGCCCAAGATATGTCTTAACTATTGCTCTTGACATGGTCCTCTTGGGGAATGGTAAGATTGGAAAGATTTACTATGTGAATGTGGTCTGAAACTTTTTACTCAAGTAGACACTGTACAGTTGTAAAATCTTCAAACCTTTTTCACACTTTCATGTTTGATAAGATTAAGATGCAGGAAATACTGCTAGACCATAATAGTGTTCTTGCGCCATTGTACCTAGGACTAAATTATTGGGGTTTTTTTTGTTTGTTTGTTTTTCCTTTTTGTTAACTGGATGCTGGATCTACATTTATTTTAATTCTTAATGTATTTTAACTCTTTGGTTAAACAAATGAGTTAACAAACATGATATTTTGCTCATGTTTTGTGGAGGAAATGTGGATTGCGGTGTTTCCTGTCAGTAAGATGTTGAGTCAGCTTAAAAAGAGAAAGCGTCAATGTACAGTACTGTTTAACTAGTTGTCTTTTGCTGTGAAAGCTGTGTAAACAGGACTGGTGTTGGCCATGATGAAAAATATCAGCTGCATTTTTAACACGTCATTAACAGGGCACTTCATTTCAAAACCATATTATTTTCCTGTATAGTATTTGTACAGTAGTTCCACAGGGCAAGTAACATAAAGAAAGGATGTCTTTGACAGAAAGAGCTTGGTATAACTCGGTGAATCTTTGAAACTCTATAGCATCTTACTATGCAGACATAATGTTGGTTGTATGATCATTTATTTTAGTGTCTTTTGATATTTAGTGTTTAATAAAACCAACCATTGTTTCTGGCTGTGAGCAACTATGAACGATCAATGGGAAATCACAGTAATTTGATCACATGTACAGTGTCTAACAAAAGACTGTATCTTGTCCTTAGGTGGTTGTACATAAGCAAACTGTTTGATCTGTACGTTAATGAGCAATAAAAAAAAATATTAACAATTTGAATGAAGTAGAACTGGCAATACACACCACACTAAAGCCCACTTGTCATGACAACATTGCTAAATTGATGATGATTCGGTTTCAATTGTTTATTGCAGTCTTGTAAGTTACTTTCTGCATGTGTTGTACCAAGAGCGTGTGTTTTTCAGTCTTTTAAACGTTAATACCTGTAAGTACTCAAGATGAATTCATTACAGTTACTTGAAATGTTCTCAAAAATTCTGTCTGCACTTTAGCAAATGAAGACATGCTTGTAATGAACTACAACAAAAAAGGGAAGGTTTAATTCAGATGAAAATTGTACAAATCCTTCATAATCCCACCAAATAACCATTTTTAAATATAACATACAAATAAAAATTCACTAAATGTAGAGAAAGTGACCTGAACCCAAATAAAACATGATAACATAACCCCAAGCTTATGGAGCCTCTTGACGTGCTTTTAAAGACATCAGTGTTTGTGTTTCTATGCATGCTTTGTACACTTGAGCAATAGCAAAAGTAGTGGCATACTGAGTGAAATTCCATTCAGCATTAAGAATATAAGTTGCTATCAACTGTATTGAGCTACATTAGCAGTTATTTTGAGCTACTTCCTTTACATGTAAAATGATGACAATCAAATTCACAATTTAAACCAGTGTTTCAATGAGTTTTCTGTACAAAATATTTATAAAACTGTAACGTTACAAACTATCTTGAGTTTCAAGTATATCATGTAGAAATACTAAATAACAGCTTTAAGCATTTGAAATTATATCTTTAAAAGGTCTATAGTTACTCCTTGCAGTGAATAGATCAAGAATTAAGTGACAACATAAAGGGGAAAGCAGTATGCTTAACAGTAGAACATTCACGTTAGAATTAATCAATTTTTGATTGTTGTTATTGGTCTCCACTCACTGTTGGAGGGACAAGTAAATAGTGAGATTATATTAGAGCCAAGACTTCCTATTGTTAAAGTTGTTTCGATTATTTTGTAACCAAAATTATGTCAAAGTTACTGTATTATGGACAATCAACAAAAGTAAGATTTATGAACAACATATACAAATTTGAAATATCAAAGAAATAGTATAATTTGCACTTTGGAATGACAAGCAGAGTTTGTATCATTTTAAATAATACAAACTCCTGCATCTTGAGCATTAAACAAGCTACCATTACTCTAATTACAAATATTTTCACCTGCAAATATGATGCCATCTCCTAAATACATGGTCTATATGATTTTCACATATTTACTCAATACTACTCAATAGGACTATCCTGTTCTCCAATTCAGATTCGAATGAATCATTTTGGGCTAACTGAAGTAACTGCTAACTAAGCTGCATAACATCATTCTTTGTCCCATGTTTTCTGAAAACTTGTTTTGAACAGGCTCAGACCCTTTAAGAGAAGCACACCTTGAAGTACATTGTTTATGCAGTTGAAGTTAATCTGTGGTCTAATTTCAAGACACCATTACACAGACTTGTAATTTTATCTGTGACCTTCTTTTGCTTCATGCAGAACTGAATATCAGGTATGGAATGAAATATGGAGCCTGCTGAAGATATGATTATCAAAAAACTGTAACAACATGAAATATAGAGTCTGTTGACGTGTGAATAACAGTCAGGATGCAAAATATTCAGGCTTTAATAGCCTAAAAATGTTTAGTAAATCAATCAAGGGGGTATTTTAGTTTGGCAAAAACATGACCTAAATGTTCAAAGTATAACAAAAAAACTAGTCAAACAGTACTGTGTGTCTGTCTGTCTGTATACCTGTGTTTTTTTAAACAGTATTTGTCACACTTTGTCTTAGGAGTTTTACACCAACTTTTTGGCTTCGAAGAAGCTCTTGAGGTGCCGCATCTGCCAGATGGCAGTGATGATAAGGATGATGGTCTGGGCAATGGACCACCATAGGACGCGCTGGTTCGTGCTCTCACTCGTCATACGGAAGCGCTCCTCTCGATACTACATAAAACACATAACAACTTACATAAGTTCACAGCAAGGACCTTCCATAATATGTCAGAAATAGTTATGCTGGGACAATCAAAATCGTTGCCCAGCAGAGGAGGGATTAACCAAGATCAGTTATGGAGCCTGCTGAAGATATGATTCCTCATCAAGGTCACACAATCAAAAAACTGTAACAACATGAAATATAGAGTCTGTTGACATGTGTGAATAACAGTCAGGATGCAAAAATATTTAGGCTTTAATAGCCTAAAAATGTTTAGTAAATCAATCAAGGGGGTATTTTAGTTTGGCAAAAACATGACCTAAATGTTCAAAGTATAACAAAAAAAACTAGTCAGTAAGAGAGACCAGAGACCAGAACATTAATTGCTACAAAGTATATCCTTAAGTTAGATCAGTCTCGATTAAGGTCACACTGGTTAGGCAATGTTTTCTGGCACAGAAACAACAAAGAGAAATAGGTGTAGCTTTTAATTTTAAAACTAAAAATACAGTTAATTTTTAAAAAGTATTGTACCCATTATAGCACCCTCTCCTGATCTGGATATCAATACTTACTATGCCTGCCAACCAGCACCGCTCTTCCCTGTGAGTCTGGAGACCCCCAAAAAGCCAGCACTACACCACTCAGGATTACTTGTGGAAACTCACCCGCTGGTAGTTCTGCTCTTTTTGTATCTGCTCCACTTGGTCCAGAAGCTGCCGCACTCTCAGCTGCAGCTCAGTCAGCTTATCTTTGGCTGCTATCTCTGGGTAGTTGTTTGTGTGCTCACCCACCTGAATATCCAGGTGCACTCTCTATATGATCACACAAAACAGTGCAATTCACCATGTCATGTTTTTCAACAATATTTCTCTTAAGTGACTTGAGTGATGACGTGATGATTCAGTGATGACTGCGTTTGACCACTGATCTGCACCATTTCTGTTTGGCACGCTTAGTATCCTGGCAAGAAGGGCAACCAAATTGAGCCTGGGTGTACAGAGGGATCACTTAGCTTCGTAAATGACAACAAAATGGATGATCACCGGTACAGTACCACACTGCCCGGATGGAAAAAATATTTTGTGCTTAGCTCTGACTCAATCTAACAGACCTGGATCTAAAATTCAGACCCTCCTTAAGATTTAGATTAGCTGGATTAGTTGTGCTGGACTAGATTTGAAAGCCAAATTATGCTGGAAAGCAAAAGCAAAGCTGGACCCCCTGCTCTACCTTTACAACAACATATTCCCCTGAGGCTATCATACCAGTTTTCCTCCAGCAAAAAGCGCCATCTTCGTAGAGTTGGAATGGAGGCAGATTTGATGTTCGCCTGGCGTGTGGGAGGTGAAAGTGAAGCGGCCATCTGAACCATACTGACGAGACAAAATGACCTAGAACAAGACAGAAAAAGAGAATTAAGAAAGTTAAAGGTAAAGATGATTAGGCAGAAAAAATGGGACGAGAGTGAAAGCAAGTTAAAGATAAAAGCACAAGGTAGGAAGAATACATTTACAAGCTGCCTAAAACTTAATTATATTAAAATCTTAATATAAAATAGTTATAAAAATTACCTTGGTGTCAGGATCCTTAATCTCAACATGCATTCCCAAGCCAGGCGTTGCTGGAAGGAAAGAGCCTGTCTGTTTGTCCCATAGCTGTGTTCTGTATTTCCCTACAGGGGAAAAGACACAACCACACCAATGGCTCTACAAGAGAACCTTATCACAAAACAGTACACCCAGTACACTCATCAAAATGACTTCAGCTAGCTGTAGTGCAGACAGGCAACGAAGTTACCAAGTCACCTTAGTAACCAAGTTACAACAAATCAAACCACTCTTAATGTATTAAGACCTGGGTCCGTATTTATTAAGCTTCTTGTAAGAGTAGGAGTGCTGATCTATGATCTGTTCCTGTCAACATGATCAAAGTAAATAAGAGAAGTTAATCCTAAAGCTATCCAAAGAAGAATATATACTATAGAAACACATTTTATATTAACAGTTATTATCCACTGTTGACTAAAAACAGGAAAATTACAACACATAGAAAACGGTGGCATGATGGCTAAACTGGTTGCACCTGTTCTAAACCTAGTAGTTCCTGAAGCAGCAGGATGCAGGCGGATCGAGGTCCGTGTGTACCACGCCTGGCAAGAATTACGGCTCCTTTCTTATAATTTGACAACTACTTCAGAAAAACCCTTTCACTAGCTATATGAGTTAGTGTATGAGCGAGGGAACGAACCAAACAACAGGTTCCAGATGTTCCAGATCAGCTCGTGGTTGCTGAGATGTTTCATTACGAGCCAACGCGGCAGATAATAAAGATGAGGATGAAGCCAAAAGAGCTAACGCTAGCTAGCTATAATACAGGGCACTAGGTAGAGTAGCCTTTGTCGAAAACATACCTATCACCATTGTCTCGTCGGGTATTTCTTCTATGAAACACTTCTTCTCTGTCTCTCCAATGTGGAAATAAAGGGCTCTGCTTGGAGAAAGCCAAGCAGACAGTAGTAATAACCCAACACAAGACGCTGTAGCCTTCATTTCCAAATTCACTGCGCCGGAGCAGAACTCAGAATCGAACTCCAGAAGAATCGATTCCTCGATTCGGTCGAAAATGAATCATAGTGTCAACTTCAAAATAAGGAATCGATTCTTACTTCGGAATCAATTGAAATCCTAACATTTTCGCTGACTGTTTATAATGTATACATAATGTGCTTTAAATATTGTTTTTTATCCAGTGGTTTCATAATACGGCTGTCCCGCACTTGTCATGAATAGTCCTTGTATTATTACAACGCTTTTTAAGGCTTTTAATTTGAAATCTCAAGACGCAGTGACAACCGGAAAGTGGTTTGTAGATGCATCCAGATCACCTAGCGCTGTTTGCTAGGATTGTGTTGTTGGTTGTTGTTGTTGTTCTTGAAAAGAGAATTAGGTTGTATATCTGCAAAATTTAATTCAAAATTCGCAGTTTTCCGTCATAAACATCATATATTTTTGCAACTCTCACTGACAAGCCGCAATGGCGCAGTACAAAGGAGCAGCCAGCGAGGCTGGAAGAGCCATGCAACTGATGAAAAAACGCGAAAGAGAGCGGGAGCAACTCGAACAGTTGAAACAAAAAATAGCAGAGGTAGTTAAGTTTCACATAAATATTAGACAGATAGCTAGCTGGACAGTTCATGTCGTGTACAAGTCGATTGTTCAAGTCGATTATACCACTATAGCATATATAGCTAGCATAGTCAGTGAAAGCTTACGATATTGTTTTTTTAGTTGGTCATTTATTAAATAATTAATACGATGATAATCCTAAATATAACAAATATATTTAATAGAATAGCTGATCATCACTTTCTGCTTTCCAGGACAACATGGTGAAGTCCAACATTGATAAGAAGTTCTCTGCTCACTATGATGCTGTTGAGCAAGAGCTGAAATCAAGTACTGTAGGTAAGAAAGCTATAGAAAGCAAAATATGTCATTTTAGGTCACTAGTGGACCGGTGGTGCTAGCACATTAAGAATAAAAATGCAAGCTCTCTAATTTGATCATTGATTATAGCATGAAACTTTCTAGTTCAGAATTTTAGGCTGGTTGCAGTATTCGCCTGCCTAATGATATTCTTATCTAAGGGTGCTGGTTCTCTTTTCAGGTCTTGTTACTCTGAATGACATGAAGGCAAAACAGGAAGCCCTTGTGAAAGAGCGAGAGAAACAACTGGCCAAAAAGGAGCAGTCTAAAGAGCTTCAGCTGTGAGACAGCCATTTAATTTCATGCATTTTTTTATAATTGTCTGCATGGATCAGTTTATTTTACTTTGTTTTACTTTGCAAAATAATTAGATTCCCTTTTTAGGTCTTTCTATATGATTGTTTAGATCAAATAGTAGCACTTTTCCTTTTCCATATGTACATTTCTTTTATGTTCTTCTGATAAGTATTAATTGTCATTGAATGGCTTTTTGTGTTATGTACATTTGTGACTAATCATAATTATGATCATTTACTGCTCCAGAAAATTGGAGAAACAGAAGGAAAAGAAAAGGAAAGAGGAGCAAAAGAGAAAAATTGCCAGCTTGTCCTTTAATCCAGATGAAGGGGAAGATGAAGATGAAGAAGAGAATGATGAAGAGGAAGAAGACTGTATATGATCTTCATTTTTTAAAAAACATACCAATTAAATATGAAGGGCATTATTTTTAGTCTTTGTTGGTAAATGTAAAATAGTATTTCTTGTAATTGATTTGACTTTTTGGTACTGTATTTGCTAGACATCCCAATAAAGAAGAAGAAGCTAGGGAAGAACCCAGATGTTGACACCAGCTTTCTACCAGACAGGGAAAGAGAGGTAAAAAGCATTTTTGTTTACTAATTACACTTCTGTGTGGAAGTGAGGTACTGTTTGTTTTTTTCAAGGAAATGTCAAGTATGTTTTCTCAGCTGGAGCGTAGCTTAATATTCAGTAAGGAATAAAGTGTATGGAATTGTTTACAAAACTTGAATTTTTCATTAGAATCCACATCAATCATTGAACCTGATGTACATTTTAAAGTGTCAGTTTTGGTTTGGTTAAAAGGAACTAGGGACAGTTTGCATGTTAAAAGTATAGGCACACATTGGCCCATTTCTGTCAAGCCTCTCAAAGTAAGCCTGTTGGTCTAAGATTAGGTCTCATCAATCCATGTAGTCCTAGTCAGTGCTATGTAAAACGCATAAACTGATCCCAGATTGGCATTCTTACACTGCGAGGTTGAATAACTATGGGCGTTTGTTTATTTAACTTTGTATGTATGTCATCTTAATTTTTTTGTCACTCAAGATTCTTGTTACAACACTGTGATGAGTTTATGGCACATTGGCCTGAGTGAAGCTGGTTGAGTATTCTTTTCCAGTATTGTTTGACAGAAGTAGTGTGTCTGTTTCCTTGTCTTTGTGTTTGTTTACGTGAATCCAGGAGGAGGAAAATCGCCTGAGAGAGGAACTTAGGCAAGAATGGGAGAGAAAACAGGAGAAGATCAAAGGTAAATGCACAGCAACAGAGTCAAGAAAAATGCTTGTAATAGATATAATAAATGAGAGATGCAGAGAACTCAGTGATGCTTGCTACCAGTTTCATTCAGCTGCTGATTTTGCAGTCTGAGACATTGCAGTTCCCATAAAAAGAAAAGAGAGTCTACGAATGCTTGTCAGGACGCTATTAGTGGTACCCTGTTAAAATATGTTGAGGATATGTTTGTGTAGACTACGTACTAAGGATGTAATTATTACTAAGTTCTTATTTTAGTTCATATTTAAATTCAGTACTTTTTTGTAAGCTGAACTAATGAGTGCCCTAAAATATGCCTTGTGGTAATGTTAGTACACCGATCAGGCATAACATTATGACCACCTCCTTGTTTCTATGCTCATTGTCCATTTTATCAGCTCCACTTACTATATAGGTGCACTTTGTAGTTCTACAATTATATAGAAGACTACAGTCCATCTGTTTCTCTGCGTACTTTGTTAGCCCCTTTACCTTGTTCTTCAGTGGTCAGGACCCTCATGGACCCTCACAGAGCAGATACTATTTGGGTGGTGGATCATTCTCAGCACTGCAGTAACACTGATGTGGTGGTGGTGTGTTAGTGTGTGTTGCGCTGGTCTAAGTGGATCAGACACAGCAGTGCTGCTGGAGTTTTTAAACACTGTGTCCACTCAGTGTTCACTCTATTAGACACTCCTACCTTGTCAGTCCACCTTGTAGATGTAGTTCTACAATTACAGTCTGTAATTGTAGCACTACAAAGTGCACCTATAAAGTAAGTGGAGCTGATAAAATGGACAATGAGCGTAGAAACAAGGAGATGGTCATAATGTTATGCCTGATCAGTGTATGTTTCAGTTTATTTGAGCCCTTCACATTATAAAAGCATGTGAACGTGATAAAAGCTGATAAGTTAGATCAAGTATGCTAGAGCAGGGACAAACTGAAACTGGTGAATGGAGTTGAAAAATCATGCTTTATAGCAGTGGTTCTCAAACCAGTTCATGCAAAAATGGAGTGCAATATTTGTTAAGGACACTGTAGATGTAGTACAGAGTACAGGTGTCATATGTTCTTGTTAACCAAAATGTCTGATCATTAGTGTCTGTACACAATATGCAGAGTAAACTAAATTATCGTAACTACTGAAATAAACCTTACAAAAAAACAAAGAAAATGACAGATAGTCCTAATTGAAAAACAAAATGCATTTTGTACAGCTTTTGCATGTCATTATTCAAAAAGAACTATGTTGCTTTGTGCCAAAATATTATGTTTTAGCTCCTTTGCCGATAAAGCAGATATAAATAAACCATTTATAAACTTGAAAATGAAATCCTTTGTTCCACTGACTTCTCATAGTCAGACAGACCTCTATCTATACTTTTTTGTAGACAGTAGGCCTCCAACCCTCTGTTTATGTTTTAGAAAAGTTTTCAGGACTGCCATGTGTGGTTCTGATTGTGTTTTTAAACTTGCTTTGTGCTTTATTCAGGGGAAGAAATTGAAATCACTTTCAGTTACTGGGATGGGTCTGGACACCGGAAAACAGTCAAGGTAAACAAACTCAGCAACAGCACAACAACAAAAATATATTACAAAAATAAAAATGTGGGTAAATCCACTATCTTTCCAGTGAGCCCTGACTTATTTTTACTATTTTTATTATTTTAGTAATTTAGGACAGCGATTTCTATGCCACCCCCATTAAGCTGCCATCCAGTATAATCAGAAATGGGATAAAAATACAGAAAAATATTTTTATCATTTATTAAACTTAAATTTTGCTGCGTATATTTTATTACAAGTGTCTGTCAGCTACTTTAGTTAATAGGTGTCGCCCTTAGCCTACAGTTTACCCGTTTAAAATACAGCCTAGTTTAGCTGCTGTTTTAGAGATGAACGTCGGAGATAGAAATCTAGTCTAATACAGGCTCTTCATAAACTCTGGACAGTGATTCTAACGCGCTGTCGAATGGCCTGATCTGATCCCTCCCCACCTCCCCGCCCTCTCTCTGTCTCTCTCTCTCTCTCTCTCTGTCTCTCTCTCTCTCTCTCTCTCTCTCTCTCTCTCTCTCGCTGTCTCTCTCTCTTCCTCTCTCTCCCCCTTCCCCTCTCTTTCTGTCTCTCTTGCCCCTCTCTCTCTCTCTCTCTCTCTCTTCCTTTCTCTCTCTGTATCTCTCTCTCTCTCTCTCTCTCTTTCTCTCTTCCTCTCCCTCTCTCTCTCTCTCTCTCTCTCTCTCTCTCTCTGTCTCTCTCTGTCTGTAGAGGTTCACACCTATTAACGTAAGCTAGAGTCCAGGGAGCTGATGGTCAGCAGGACTCTCACTAAAATGACATTATTAATTAAGCAATCTACTCATCATTTTTTCTTTGAAATGAACTTAGTTAAACAGTAACAACCTATGCAGCGTCTTTCAGGGATTCTAAAATCCTTTATTGGTAACAGATAAACTAGGATGTTTTGTATAATCATCTAACCATGAAATGCATGCAGTTTAATGTAAACCTTGTTCCTTACACAGTTCACAGAAAGGTGTGTAAATGTG